CAAGGCTCTCCAGAGCGTGAAATATTCTATGGACTCGACAGCCCTTGGCAACGTCCCTGTGAACATCACTTCTCCTGCCGATTCTACGAAACGGCAATCAATGCCACAGGGTTCTGTTCGCTCGCTAGGGGACAGCCCAGCTTCAACTAGTGGTAACGGTGGGCCAATATCGAGCCGCACTCGCCGTGCGATGCAAATGTCCAACCACCCCGTCCACCGCTATGAGACGCCCGAAGAAGAGGATGAGCTCTTAGACGAGGTCCTCCACTCGGCAAGCAGGGCTGCTAGACGCCTTGCACAGTCAGACACGTCGTCGAATTACAGCCGTCCCTTGGCCAACGAGAACACCAACCCCTTGCCTAGTCCTTACCCCACTCCTTCACCGTCAGCAAAGTGTGATGGCGTGTCTTTCGGTAACGTGGACAGTACGCCAGATAGACGCCTACCGCTTTCGGTCGGGAAATCGGATCCTTCCAGCGCCACCCGCCAGTGGCCTACACCGCCATACGACGACGGTGACTGGATGAGCCCAGCCTCGACGAAATTCCTGACGGGCTCTACCGACAGATAGTGCATGTTCCAATCCAGATTTTTGTGAACGTGTGGAATTGTGCGCATCTCCTCGTGACATATTACCTGCAATGTCGTGTATAACCTAATTACAAGGGAAGTTTTGTGGTTGTTTTGCTCAATAAGGCGCATGGGATATGGTGTCAACTATTTGCTTTTGCTCAATACCTTCATTCCCCTTACTTTCCTTTTGCCGATTAAATTGTGTTTCTCTTCCTTTTTCCTGTTTTATAGGGCACGGTGTAGCCCATGGGTTCTTCTCATTTGTCGGCCTTTTGTCTTCATACCCCAACGGCCTTTTATAGATACAGTCGGCCTCGCACAGCGTTTTCGGCACACCAGTTGCCCTTTTTCTTCCTGCCTATATTTGATCTCTTGCATACTTACACTGTTTCGACCCCACCGCGCGGGTCGTGGATTCACCATTCTTTTCATAAACATATCATGTACCTTATATATACCTACACACACACACACACACTCTCTCTCTCTCTCTCTCACCATCTTATCTCTCACTCGAGCTCTTTCGTTTGTCCCTACCATCACTTATTCTCGCTCCCTAATTCCTACCTACCTATTCCCTCATTCTCTCCTGATTACCATTGACCATGGGAAATGATGTGCCACCACTGAAAACTTTCTTTCTGATTTGTACACTTTTTTCGATTATTCCCCATGACCACAGGTGGTCAGGTTGACTGCAAACAACATTGTAATATACTGCTCTTATACGGCAGAGGAACTGTCTTATTATATATATACTCTACAGCAAATGGACTCCAAAATGAATCAACTAATCAATAATTAATTTTGTGTTCTCGGAAGCAGCCTAGACCTCTATTAACTTTATCTTCGCCGTCCTTGCAGCGTGCCTTAACCTTATACTGGCTAGTCGGTATGGAAAAATGATGATCCGAGTGAAGCAGAATTTCCCAAAGAAGCGGCATGAATCCGCATCTGCGATGAAGCTCAACTCAACAGGACAATTCTATTACACATTTGCAGCATGGAATATTTCTACCCGTAATCCCGATAACCATACCAAGCGGGCTATATCCGAATCTTCCCCCGCGAACTCACACATACATACAGTAAACTACCCAGCTTCGGCTGCGAACTACCTGCGCAAGCGCAGTAGTTCCTCATCCTCGCATTTTACTCTCCAAGATTTCTACATCTCCTTCCAATCCCAATTCAGATCCAGAATGACAGCCCAACGCCAAGCTTCTTCTGCTTCGCAGACGCCACACATCTCCCCCGCCGAGCTCTCCTACCTCTACACATCGCTCTCCCTCCCAGGCACACCAATCCGACCGGACGGGCGTTCACCAACCCAGTTCAGGCCTTTGTCAGCAGAGACTGACATTTTACCCGGCACCAACGGCAGTGCGCGAGTCGGGTTCGCAGATGGCACGCAGGCGATTGTGGGCGTGAAGGCGGAGGTGGAAAAGACTGCGCTTGGGGTCCAGGCTCTCAGTCAAGCGCAGCAGCAGGAGCAGGGTGGTAATGATGGTGCTGCTGATGGGAGTGACTCTGGAGCTGCTGGGGGTACTTCGGGACAGGGTTCGTGGGTACAGATGGCGATTGAGATCCCGGGGTTTAGAGACGATGATGCCCTGCCGGTTTTCTTGTCGGAGATGATGAGGGAGCCGTTGGTGGAATCTGTTTCGGGCGGTGCGAATGGGAATGGGAATGGGGATGAGATGGCTGGAGGGTTGAAGGGGAGGCTTGTGATTAATCGGAGGTGGCATTGGAGGTTGTATATTGATGTGAGTTTTTGCCTTCTTTACTTTTATGAAGGGCTTTTGTGGATGTGTGCTAACTCCAACGATGTATAGGTTTTACTACTTTCCCAGCCGCTATCTTACCCGCTCCCTCTCTTATCACTTACGACTCACCTTGCGCTTCTCGCGACGAAGCTACCAAAGCTGAAATCGAAAGGCGAGGAAGATCCATTTTTCGACGACGACTGGGATGCCGCTGAGTACTTGTACCCACGGGTCAAATCCACGAAGAGCTCTATTCCGGGCTCTGTCCCCACACATAAAGTCCGGCCTCCCGTGACCCTCCTTGTCATCTCCGTCGCGGAGAACATCATCTTCGACCCGAGCCGAGAAGAGATTGCCGTCGCGGACGCCGTACTTGCAATCTCAATCACCCACGACACTGACTCTGGTCGCTTGAAACTGCTTTCGATCCGGACGATCGATCCTCCGTCTCGGCTTACGCAGCCTGGTATCGCGAACTCAGAGAACGTGGCGACTGTGAGTTCTACGGCTGCTGCAGAGGAATCCGCTATTGTCAACCCTTCTACTGGTGAAGAGGAAGTTCCTGGTGTTTGGAAGCCGAGACGTGGTGGCGTGAAGAGAGCTACCATTGCACGTATGGTAAAGATGGTACTGGAGCAGGGAGGCGTTGGGGAGGAAGTCTTGGAGGGGCTTGAGGGGGTGGAGGTTGGATGATTGGTTTGAGAAGAAATCTGCCCCTTACTCTCCGGTACACATGTTGCACGGTGTGATGCGGAAGCACTCCACGGACAAATACGATTGCAAAGCTGTGTCTCAGTCTGCATACGCCGCAATGCGGGGAAGCATGAAGACACTGCATACAAACTCTGTTGAAACCGCAATCGTCAGAGTCCGCCATGAGACAGAATATCGCAATGACAATGAACATGTATATACACATAATACATGAGAGATGAGAGAAACACTAGACGAACAATATCTTATATTATACATGGTCGAACCTCGCCCACCACAAACTAAGCCAGTAGTTGTAAATCCCCTCTGTTACCATGGGCATCCCGGAAGTTCCAGGACACTCCGCCTACCAAATTCCCAACCACTTCTTCACAGGCTTCTTCTTCCCCTCCCAATCAACATACTCTTCCCCACCACGAGCATGGCCCTGAGCTTCAACAGCAACAGGCGACTGATCATCAATCTCCGCCTCCTTCCCCTTCTGGCTTTGGTTCTCCTCACTCGGCTCCTCCAATCCATGCGCAACTCGGAACTGTCTCCTCTTGTCCGCATCCTCTACCCGTCTCTTCCTCTTCTCCCGCGTTTCCATAGAGGTATGCTGAACGTGCATCCGGTACACCGCAAAAGCTTGCGAGATCGTATCGATCGGATGAGTAAGAAGGTCCGACCAGGGCGGGAGTAAATGCGCAAAGGGACTCGAGTGCTTGAAGTTAGTCGTGAAAGTGAATGTTGCAAGGCTTGTGAGGACGCCCTGGGAAACCATACATATCAGTATACACAAAATATATAATCAAAATAATGTAGACAGAGCACATACCATGGCAATCCAGACGTGAATCCATCGACTCGTCAAAAACCGAAACATGACCGTCCCCTCGGGCGGGAACATATTCGGGTACTGCTTCGTCTTCCGTTCGGCCTCTTCCTTCTCGCTGAACTTGGGGCCCGGGTAGTTGACGACCTTGCCATTTCTAGTTTGGACAACGCGCCGCGCTGGGTGCGATGGCGGGCGGAATTTATCTGGCTTTTCGAGCACACGCGGTTTTTGGTCCGAGGCTTTTGTTGATGCGCAGCGCCGACTGTAAGTTCCGCCGAGGGCGCGCGGTGTGGGCTTGGATAGAGCGAGAAGGGCTTTTGTTGAGGGAACTCCTCGAGGAAGGAGGAATGGGGCGATTGAAGCTGGGGCCATCTTTGGTTATCCCCGGCGATTTGCGCGGTTGGCTTGCTAGAGAACTATGGCTCGCATGGTCTGTGAGGGTATCCTAACTTTTTCGGTGGTGATTAGATCACGTGTTTAGTCCTTCTCAGGCGTTGAGGCACCGGGGCGACAAGGCTTCAAGGCATAAACTTAATGCCAAGTCAGGCATCAGGCCACTTCGGAGTCGGTTCAAGGCCGGAAGAGCGGCAAAAACTCGCCATGCGTTCGGCGAATAGCCGGGTGCGAATTTGTTATTACACCAGATCCGGAGTGTTGTTCTTTCAACTTGGAAGTATCGATGAGCTGGAATGAGATCATACCTTGACAGCATGCGTCTGATCAACAAATTGACAGCTCTAGCAAGGTTGCTAGGTAGACTAGGGAGAATATCACACTACAAACACAATTATACAAAAATCCTTAATACAAAATCTACCAAGTAAACCTGTAACATGGAGAGAACGAAAATGCACTCATCAAGGCACATGCAGTCTCGATCTGGGATTGCGGTGACCGAATTTCTGTCCCGGCAGTGCCCGTTACGCGCTGAATCATCTGCGCTCTGATTGGTTGTCGCGGGATCACGGGAGGCGTCGGGGGCAAGTCGCTCCCAGCTCTACAAATTCCCTCTCCAAGTTTTTTCCGTTCGGCCAGCTTGCTTGAAATTTCCTTCCATTGTCTCTCTCTCTCATCTGCTACAAGTCCCTGTACTATACCACTTTACTTCTCTACCTCTCTTCTTTCCCTTAATACTCTTTATTTTTATTATTCACAATGGCCAAGGGCGCTGACAGCTTTGCTCCTGGTAAGCTATCCTTTATCGCCAAATCGCTCCTTTGTTCTGGGTTCAATCGCGCTGCTGCCATTCACCAGCATCCACCGGATGCCCTATCAGAATGGTGTCTGCGACATGGTGGAATAGTGAAACAGAAGGCTGTTGAAAGGTCAACATTGGGCGCCTTGTGAGCGCTGTTCACAAGTCTTTGAATATAACACAAGAGGTCATAATGTTTCGCATGCTCTCCTTTGGCATCTTTGTCGCCAGTGAAGCAATTCAATCGTCGCTTGTTTCAATTGCCTCGCGCAACTTGAACGTTTTACAGCCCGATTGCAAACATTTGACTTGAAATCGTGCCCGTCATGACCAGCTTCGACGCCTACTGTTTCACTACCACGCTCAGCATGCGCGAACTCGAACTAGAAGAACTGGAGAAAACGAAGGCGAAACAGAATGCTAATCAGCTGTTTTCTCCAGGTGACTCTAAGAAGGGTGCCAAGCTCTTCGAGGTCAGTTAACTCCCTTGCCAACTCTCTGCATCATGAAAGACAGAAAGCTAACTAGAAATAGACTCGCTGCAAGCAGTGCCACACTGTCGAGAGCGGTGGTGCCAACAAGGTCGGCCCCAACCTCTTCGGCCTCTTCGGCCGTAAGACTGGTGAGGTCGAGGGCTACGCCTACACCGATGCCAACAAGCAGGCCGGTGTGACCTGGGACGAGAACACTCTGGTAAGTACCAATGGTAGTCATTTTCAGTTGGAGTCGCGATTGCTAACGCGGTATTCGCCAAACAGTTCAAGTACCTCGAGAACCCCAAGAAGTTCATCCCCGGTACCAAGATGGCCTTCGGTGGTCTCAAGAAGGGCAAGGAGCGCAACGACCTCATCACGTATGTTTCGCTACCCATCTGACGATGAAGGAGATAATACTAACAAGCCACTTAATAGCTACCTCAAGGAGAGCACCGCTTAAACGTTTCGCTATTAGACACCATAAAAAAACACCCACCTGTGGGGGAAGCCGGGTTTCCGGCTAGCTGGCAGGCGGGAACTGTAACACTACTACAAACTTTTAGACCTGGTTTTGATTGCGTCGGGACGTTGTGGATATCATAGAGTCTTGTTTCCTTCGCCGCCGTGTCTATATTTGATATTCCCTCGATTTCCTTTTTTCTCCAATGGACGGTCATGTTTTCTTCAGCTTTTGTGTATCATGGTTTAACTTTCAGGTCGAGTGACCCTAATGAATAAAAGAGTCTCCTCTCATGACAATTACTCCCTTTCACTCCCTTCCAATCGCTGTCCTAACTCCTAACTCGCCACTCCGTTCCAGGTTCATCTATTTTTAACTCGCTGCCTCCGGCTTCGTCATATCACGTGTTATGCGCTATCACGTGGCTCTGGCGTCCCAGGAAAACAGAGGTTCACTGTTATCAGTGATAAGACAATGCACTCACTTATCAGTCTGGACTCTGAAGGATCCAAGGTGACGACAAGCAGTTCTTCTCAACGCTGCTGCTTGACTAAGTTGCCCAATGATGTGTTGGCAGAGTGATGGACGATCTGCGCAGGCTGTCGAAGCATGGATGCTCGATTGGCTGGGACAAGAGGGTGTTCCTCCAAGCAGACTCCTGCCGCCTCAGGTCAAAGTCTGAGAGAGAACCCTGGGGGTTTATGATTCGTGAATCACACAGTCCAGGACCTCCAAACCGTCACTGACCTGTGCACGGAGCAGGCCGGCTCCCTCAACAGCCCGCTCAGTTCAGTTGGCAGCGTGGCGGCACATGACCCCTCTCACACAGCCCACCTTCGATTGGCCCAGCCTCCTGCCTCTGCGCCCCCTCCATAAATGCCCCAGCTCTCGACCTGGTGAACCTGGTCTTGTAGAGTCAAGACAAGACTGATCCAGGGCGCATGCGAGGGGCACTCCTTCCTGTCAGACATCGCCGATTAGTCGCTTTCCTGCATTTTTCCAGGATATCGGATGAAACACAAGCTATTCAGACTGGGCCGGACTCGGGTGTCGAGCCAGACTGCACTAACGTGGACAACAGTCTTGAAACACAATCGCTGAGAAGAATTCCAGTTCCTACCTATATACCGTCTAATACAAATCGTTTGTAACTCTCCTCTGTCTCTCTCTCAACGGTATTCGTGCGCGCCTGAGACTTGTCAGCCTGTCTTCCCTGTCCTCTGGCATCAAGGGCATTCGGGGATCAACTTGTCCCTCCCGCCGTCGCATTCCTCAACTCCTGCGCTGTCTTCTGCAGCTTTCTTCTAGCCTGCCATTGTCCTTATCGTTTCATCTGCTCCCTACTCTTTCCCCGCTACTCTGTCCTGCTGGACTCGACTTACTTCTCCTGCATCTCCCCCACCTCCATCCTGATAGTCTCACCAATCTATACGTTAGCGCCCTTCGCGAACCTCCTGCCCCCCTCCCTTCTTGAACCACCACCTCAGGCGGTTTAGAAGTGATACCGGGGAGATTTAACGCTGGAAGTGGCCCTCCAACTCCAGAACCCCGTGCGCACCACGCCGTCCATCATGCTGGACGAGCTGGACACCGTCTTTGACGATCATCCATCACTGGATGCCTCGCTCGAGGACTTCGAGAACACTAGCAACCCACATCGTTCACCTGTCTTTGGTCTTCCATCACAACACTCAGGCTTTAGGTCGGAGGAATCGGATATCGAAGATGAAGATGCAACACCAGTCGGCGAGCGCTGGTCACCTCCCGGCTTTCGAAGGTATGATATTGTTCCCGGTAGCGGGTGGTATCGACACCAGCCCTACCCGCGCAAGGTCGACCACGAACGATTCGGGCTAAAACCGACCGTGGGGCTCAGCCCATCGCAGTCGCGTGAACCCAGTCCACAATATGAAGATGCGCCTGAGGCCCCTATGGGAGGGCATCGCGGCCACTCCACCGAAACAGGGGATGTCACTGTCGCCGCCAATGTACCTTTGCCGTCAGAGGCAGATTCACCATTGAAGGGCCGATCGCCCAGTCCAGTCCGAGTGCCTGTACGGCCTAACTCTGATGATGAGCCACTGGAATTCAAGCCCGAAAGTAACATAAGCAATTGTAGGCATCTCTTGGTTTGATTACCCTGTCCAGCTTGCTGGCGTGGGATACACTAACATTTGGATCTCTATTAAAGATATCAGATTCGCTGTGCGTGCAGAAGTTCAACATCGAGAACCTTTCGTCGCATTCTTTACTTACCTGCGGTCCAAGGTCGATCGCATCACTAGCTCGAAATCCAACACAACCCTGACCGTCTTAATTGCGCTGGTGTCCATCGCATTCATGCGCGCCATGTTCATGCCCAGTATTCCATCGGCGATTCCAGACCTTGTGAAACTCTCGAGCTTTGCGCGCTCATTCGAACCACTTATTCATTATTCTGAGAATGGCGTACAGCAGATTGGAACCTTACAAGAGACTGGTGTGGCCGTCTGGGATCTTAGCGAGTCGGTGCGCGGGACCAATATGACCAGCGCACCCATCATAGTGCGACAACTTGACGAACTGTCCGAGTCACTTAAGTCGCTCTCCCTAGAGCTGACGCGCTTCTTCGCCAATGTTGATGCAGATGTCGATTCGATCCTCCTAGTCATGGATTGGGCCAAACGTGAATTGGAGACCTTGTCGTCGCAGCCGCCCAGTAGCTTACCATCCATTATGTTCGATAATATGCAAGACCTCCTGTCACGGCTCGGTACCCTCGAGCATGTCACAGGCGCAAGTGGTGATTCCAGCAGCACCGAGCTCACCTCAACTACTCCCACGACGTTTGGGACGATTGTGACGGCCATATTCGGCCAGACGTCGGCCCAGCGCACTCGCGCGACCCTAACGCGGACTTTCACTGAGTTCCTTTCCGTTCTAGAAGAGTCCATCGAAGGCGAGCTCACACATTCGACGGCCCTATTCGCGCTATTTGAGTCCATCGACCGCCAGTTCCTTAATCTCCAGCGCACGGTCGTTCGTGAATCCGATGCGCAGGAGCGTGCCGAGGGCGAAATGCTCAGCTCCCTTTGGACTCGCGTGCTTGGTCCTGACGCTGTAGTCGTGCGCAAATATGAAAGGAACAAGCGCCTGTTAGCAAACGTCCGCAGCCGAACTGTCGCAAACAAGCATCTCCTCATGGACCACCGTGGCCGTCTCCTCACTCTCAAAGTGAATCTCGAGACATTACGGCGCAAACTCGTCAGCCCGCTCGTCCGGCGCAATGATTCTGTGAGCTTCGCCGGCTCCATTGACTCTGGGAGCAACGGCCGAACACTTGGCCCGGTTGAAGCAGTGATAGAGGGCCAAATACGTGGTCTGGAAGGGACATATGACTACCTCCGCTCCGTGCGGGAAAAGCAAAAGGCAAAACTCATGGAGATGGTGTATGGTGCAGGTCGCAAACTTCCACCCGCTGATGCCTCCGATGATGCAGATACGATAGATGGTGCATGATACTTCTTTTCCTACCGAACTTCTCCCCTCTCCTCTATTCCGCTTTAACCCCCACTTCGCCTCTTCCCCTTCGAACAGTCTTATCTCTGTTCTCTGTGCATCATACATCGGTTCCGGCGTTATCATTCGGCCTACATTGGGTTTGCTACTGGTACTTGGGCTGGGTTGCGTTCAATGGTCATGGCATATAATTCCTTACATACGCATACATCCGTCCCTGCATACATACACCCATCCCACCTTACACCTGTCCCTGGCATCTAACAGAGCCCAGTGGGTCAGCACGGACAGGCACGTGGGAGACCGCCAACTCACCCCGTCATCGCTTCTTTCCCTTTCCATTCATTATTCATCGGCAATCAAGGCGAGATAAAGGCCGGCCAAGGCAAGTAAAAGCAAAGCGATAGACATCTGGAAGGTTTTCTTCTCACTTTCCATATCATATCCGTTCTACCCTGTCATTTTTTCTAACCGTTCTCTTGTTCATCATTCATTCACGGTTCATTTGGTGTCTACTGTGGAGGGCTTGACCACTGGTTAGGATTATATTAGGCGCAGCTGGTTTGCAATGGCTTAGCCTGATTCGCAGTGGTAGGATAACGGCTCAAGGTTCTTGAAGATCTTGATTTTCCGTCTAGCTACTACCCTATCAACTACTGGTTGGTTGGTTGGTTGATTGATTAACTTGGTGGTGTACCTGACCTGTTCATGTTCATACTTGCTTGGGTTTTTCGTTTCTTTTTCCTTCTTTGCAATTTCTCGCTGTGTTTATTTCGTTTCCTTTCATCCCGCTTCACTTCGGCTCGGTTGGTTCGGTTTGTTTGCTTTTATTGGGCATATATGGTGTCTTGTGGTAGGTCGGCTAGACGATTGATCTAATCTAATCTACTACGTACGTTCTTGAATAAACTCTACGTACTATTCTCACTTGAAGATAACAGATTTCCTAAGTGCAGGGTAGCTCTCAGGATATTACGTATAAAAGGTATAGTTCGGTACCATATGGATATCTCTCCTATGTTAGAAACGAAGCGAAATAGCCCTTCGCCTGTCTCTGCTAAAATACAAAGGCGAAAGATGATCACATATACCCTGAACTATCCATGCCAATGGAGTTCCCCTTCATGATTTTGAGAGACGAAAAAAAGGGAGAAAAAAGACAAGACCAATCGAGTCATATATTAGGAGTAGTATACATGAGGTGGGAGATTGTGAGAAATAATTATCAAACATAACGCCATTATGAAGACCTCTAGGGTAAATGATATCGAAAGGAAGACAGCCCGGACGCCCCCAATCGTACAAAATGGTGTATCATACATATGCATCCATAGACAGAATAGACGACCATCCAGGGAGCATAAAGGTAGATGATTGAGTAGGCGCCGTAAATTTTTGAGAGGGTGTAATAAATTTCGGTGGCCGAGTAGGGCCATTTTTTATATACTGTACAGAGAAGGTAGGTGTCGAGGGTGAGGTAGAGAGCGTGGCTGTTTAGTTGTTCTTCACAACACCAACCTTGGCAGCCTAAACAAGAGGGTTAGCATCCTGATATTGTAGTAACAGTTTATACATTGGGAACTCACTCTTAGGATACGGCCATTCAGCGTGAAACCCTTGCTTTGGGTGTACATGATGTCGCCGTCTTCCTTGCCCTCGGCCTTGGTCATGAAGGTGGCCTCGTGGATCTTAGGGTCGAACTTCTGGGCCTTTCCATCCTCGGTGGCCTCGCCGGGGTCAAATCGTTGCAGGCCGTGCTTCTGCAGGGTGTTCATAAGGATATTCTGAGTCATCTTAAGACCATCGACAAGATCTAGAAGGTCCTTGTTCTCTTCGGTCCTGGCGGCGCCTATCTTATCCGACGGGACGGCGAGGAGAGCACGGTCGAAGTTGTCAATACTTTCAAGAAGGTCGACGGCGAACCTTTGGATTGCGAAATTGCGTGCATTCTCCATATCCCGCTTGGTGCGCTCCTGGAGGTTAAGAAAGTCCGCAACGGATCGGACATATTTGTCCTGTTACGAGACAGTCAATTTCACCATTCTTAAAGTGATAAATATTATCGACTATATAGCAATTGCATGCTTGGGGAAATTACCTTGAGATCAACGACCTCTTTGCGCTTCTCTTCCAATTCCTTGGTGACGGGGTCCTCGGCAGCCTCTGCTTCTGCCCCGTTTTCCTTTTGTTCCTTGTTACCATTCTCTGTTGAGTAGCACCGGGCGGTAGGGAAAGCAGCGAAGGGTCGGAGGAGCTGTGATTGGAGCTGCGGCGTCCGGCAAGCATTCAGCGGCGTTGTGGACGCGGAGCGGACGGAGAGCAAAGACCGGGAGGCCTGAGCTTGTCTGAGGAGGGTTCGCTTGAACATTGTGAAAGATGAGGGGTGGTTTAAGGGTTAATCAAAGGGAGGTGCAAAGAAACGTGAAGAGGTGATGGTTGGAGACTCAAGGAACAACCGGCATCATCGCAGAAAATCTAACAGCTTCCCGCATCACCTGACCGCCAAGCTACCAGCCAAGCTACAGAGGAAAATCGTCCGGCCGAACTATACCGAAAGAACAGCGCTTTTTTTCATATATTTATTTTCTTCCAAGAGCGGGAATCGATTTATCTAGCAAATAGGTGTCCGTAAGTATGATATTTCCTGGAAATCTCGTGGTCGCGCTACGAAATAGGTCTCTCAGTACATGTTCTGCTTCTTAGGTCCCGAGTTCTGTTCCGAGTATACGGACACGTGAGCCCCAGTATGACAAACAGAAACTCATGCAGCGATGAGTTATCATGTTCCAAGTATTGAGACGACGTTTAAAGAGTGGTCGTAGAGACAGCTCGTCACAGTCTGGCTCATGTCTTGTATCAGACACCGATAGATTTGGCTGATTGAGGTCCACGATGAAGGCGCAAGAATTGAAGACATCTGCGTCCAATGCAGGTGAAATTATCCAGATAGCAAAATCTTGAGTCTCTCGAAGATTGCGTCAAGCAGTATTACGTTCAGACAAGAAGCCTGTTACTCAGGAGAATCGTGGTACTGCCGATAGTTAACATTATTGCAAACGCTCGATTCAGCCCGCGGGGGCATGGGTAGCATGGTGTTCTGGCAACACTTTACTTTGCCCACCACAAAGGTATAACTTAAATGTGCCACAAGGCGGTTTTGTTGGCCAGGGCGATAGAAACACGATGGTTTGCGCCCTGCTCGTATTTCCCCAGGCTTATCTCTACGGGGTTATATCTTGACCGTCAGGCCGTAAGCAGCATTGAGCCTCAGGCTTAATCTCGAGGTGAAATATGCCGGATACGGGTGTAAGGCGCACGAACCTACTGCAGGAATCTCTCCGCCGTATTATCAATCAAGCGTATTTGAGAAGAGCACCATGATGCGCGGATGGACCTCCGCGAATGTGTGCGGAGTGGCTATGCCGAGAACCACCAGCCTGGGAGGCTAGGCGAGGCCGAATTGCTGCCAAGCCCGCGTTTTCCGGGGTGTTGCATTGAAGTTGAAGAAATGATAAGGACAGGTAGAGGAGGCTGAGGCATTGCCGGCTGTGGACTATGGGAGCCACATTACTGAGACGAGGCACATTGGCGAAGCTCAACTACGGATGGATGGAAGAGGCATGGGCAGTCCCGTGACCGGTGACTCCCATGCCACATGGATAACTCAACGAATGCAGGGAGAGAAGTTTACCAGAGCTTGGCAGAGCACGATCATTCTTCGGGGTCGAGGAGTGCTGAGCCACAAGGAATGAAGGAGCCTGGTGCGAATGAAGCTGGCCGTGGGCCGGATGAAGCAGTCGGGAGGCATCAGCCACAATTAGGTAGATCACAATCCCTCAATTCACAACACGTATGCCGATTATTTGCGGATCGCTCCGGCGACTCCGCCAGCAGCGGAGCTAACGACGCGTTTGTGACTTTGTGTTTAACTTTCTTGTCGCTAAAGCTGTCGGTCGCAGCCTCCGCCGACTTGCCGGGGGGCGGAGTTTGTATGGAGCATGGCCTTGGGGAGCATGTCGTCAGCTAGGGACAGCTGTGGAGGGTTGGCAACTGTATCAGCAATAATCGGAATGGACTAGAGAGGCTTAGAGGCATAAAATAGTATCATTTATGATGCTGCCTATGGCGTTGACGATGCATTCGGCGGAATTGCTATGCACAGGCTCAGGTCTATATGATACAGGCAGGCAGAGTCAGCCATGAGCCAGCACAGCACAAGGCCAACAGCGATGCTCTGTAGGCCGAATTCACAGCCGTCCAAGATCCTGTAATCGTACTCCAATTCTCATAATCCGATGTAATGACTAGATCAGATCCGTGAGTCTACTCCGTCTTGCAAGTGGCAATCAGAGGCCACTGCAAATACCCTGTGGCGACCGGCGACAAGTTAGAGCACTGCGATCGAAAAGGGCGAGACTCGATCTTCAGGAACAGTATCCGGAACCCGGCCGCGTTTGCTGGGGAGAATCCAAAGGAAAGGCCGGGTCGTCTGTCTCATAGGCCAAGATGATGGCAGTGCAGAGTGGGAGAAACCCACCGCGTGCGTCGACTCCGTACGGTGTACGCCGGTGAGGAGGCGCAGCTTCGCCTCCCAGGACCGAACACGGAAAAAACAATCAAATTTTGAAAGAGGCCACACGTCTATAAAAGAAGCATCTCTTGATCTTCATTTCTGGATTCAATCTTGTCTCAGATATTTCAGACACACAGCACATCTTGCTCTTGTGGCGACTCCTGCGGCTACTGCGACTACTTAACGGCGTCCGCCTCCCCTCCATCTCGCTGCCAACTCCTCCATCCCACCTCCTGATTCCTGTGCTCCTCACCTTCCACCCAACAACCGACAGAATGACAGGCACACTTTCCCCGCAATCTGTCCCTTCATCGCCTTCTTTTCAGGCCAACCGCTTCTCGCGCTCCTCCAACAGACCGTCTCTCTCTATCGACCTCTCCAACCTCCCACCGCTCTCTCAACCATCACCACCAACCAACACCCTCCTGATCACCGACCTCAACGACCTCTACCTTTTCCAACCTTCATCTCTCTCCACAATCCGCGCACAAATTGAGTCTATTGCACCTCTCAACTCCTTTTCCCCGCTCCCTTCATTCCGCCGCATCGTCTGCTCCTTCAGAAACGAAGACGATGCAATCCGCGTCCGCAAGCTCCTTGACCGCGAAAGCCTCCTTAACCGGGAAGTCCGCACAAAGATCTACTTCGGCGAGCCAACGCCTCTTCTAGAAACCGACGAGACCGGCACGGGCATCAAGCACAAGCTTCTCGAGGCACCCCAGGTTGACAAGCTCTTCTTCATCAGCCCCCCGCCCTCTCCACCCCACGGATGGGTTATGCGCACCGAGGATCCCCCAAACAAGGAAGTCCACGCTAGCGACCTCGCCCAGGCCCTCGCGATGCTGAAGACCGAGCAGTCGTCAACTGCAGCTCCCGCCGTCGGCAACATCTACTCTACCGCCTCGTCCCAACAGCAGACTGACCCGGATACTCCGATGTCTCTCTCATCCGATAAGCGAACTGGAAGCTGGCCACTGTCTCAGCAGCGCAGCAGGAGCAGCACGCTCATTTACAATCCCGGGGAGCATGGCGGTAGCCCAAATCTCCCTGCTGTCATGGTCGAAGATACAACAGCCGACCCGGATGACATGGACGTGGAGATGAGCCCTCTTGATATGCCGAAGCAGACACCACCTTTTAAGACCGCTCGTCCTCCCGTTGAGCTGATGTCCTAATTTGATCTGAAACTCCATCTGTCTTCATTTTCTACTATTCTAATTCTTTTTTGCTTTTTCCTTGGGTCTTGGCTGCATTTTAGCGCTTGAATTCGGAGTTTTATATGGGATCATGATTGTCGTCTTTACTCCGATTCTTCGTGAATGTGGCTCTTAATTTCTTGCAATTTCTCTCTATTTTCGACAAATCATTGCCCGGCGTTGTGGAGGGATTATCAGAGTCTATGGTAATGGAGCATTTGTGTTAGCAACTCATACGATGAACGTAACAATATAACAATATACGTTTTAATCCTATCATATCAACCTCAACTAGTAGTCCTTGATCCTCTGATTGATCTGGCAATTCCTTAGCTTCAGTAAAATCCTTAATCAAGTTTAATCAAATAACACCACCGCGCTGTCCCTCACTACAATAGGACCCAAGGTCGCGGCCAACTCTGCAACGATCCCTTTAATCGACTGAGGCTCATCAACCGGCATAGTCTCCCACCCAACTAGGTCCTGTGGTTTATTGTCGTCGTTAGCCCATATTCATCAAAATGGAAACAGGAAAGGAAAAAAAGTCGAAACGCTTCGTATAACAGGATTGCAGTTGTAAATGGTAAGAACAGGAATGAGACTCACCGCCATATGAACAAACGACCCATGAACGACTAACGGCCAGCTTCCGAGATCGAGCTTCTTGATTTCCTCTACCGTAAGGACACCCGGCATGTGCAAGGCGAATAACGAGACCTCTTCGTCGTTTATCTCGCCTTCGGCTTCGGTTTCGGCATTAGCTTCAGCCTCAGCATTCGCACCGGTTTCGGCATTTTTGCGGTCTCGCGAGAGCGAAACGTAGGGTCGGGAATTGAGCTTTGTGGTTAGTTCGCCATCGAGGGGGTCCCAATTGTGAGACTCGGGGTCTGGGATTGAAGTGGTTAGCTCAAGTTATGATAGGGTTGGTGGTCGTGGTGGCCGAGGATGGAAAGGAACATACCCAGGATATATTGAGGTCGGAAGGAGCCCTTGTAGCGCATCTTTTGGCAGGAATGGATGTAGTATCCTGGGAAAGTAAGAATCACGATATCAGCAAGTAGTTTCCAACGATATTACGTGGGGGCGTGCGAACCCATGTAGTAATATCCATAGCCTTCTTCGATTGAGAGAGCTATTTCCCTCGTAGCACTGAGCTTTCCGAATTCCCAATGCTCATAATCTGGGTCGTAGCTTTGCACGTTTATTAGGTTCTGGCTCTAGTAGTCAAGTTGTTGAAAAGGGACTCACAAGAGGTAAACGGAGCTGACGCCAGTGGGCATCAGGTCAAGGACAGCAACGGCTATCAAGTTCCCGTCGAGCCGGTAGCACTGGTGCCAGGATCCTAGTCTGCGCTGCCCATCTTGCGCATTTGGTTCGGTTCGTTTGAGGCCTGAACAAAGGAAGCGCTTGAAGTCTTTTGTTTGCCATTTGGAGACATCCTCCTTGTGAACCTTCGTCTGGTACTTGCGGAATAACTCGAATCTGACAGAGACGTAAGTATACAGTGGGAATGATCAAGGGTATTCGCTGCTTACTTTGCCTGGGAAACGGTGTCACCCTCTATGTTGATCTCGAACCGATGGGCCGGCTCCAACGGTTTCTTTGTCTTTGGGTCAACCGGCCGTTTGACGTTATCGTACTCGACTCCATGGACGGCATCAATAAGATCGAAGTTGCATTTGCGATGCTTCTTCTGTCTATCGAGCAAGTTAGCTCACAATGCACTGAAATGCAGAAAACTGAGGTGCTTAGCTTACTCCCGAGATTTCGGGCAGAGATATGCAGCTCTGCGGATGTACTCAGGCCCCAATACGAACTTGTTCCAGCGGTTGATTGCTTTTCGTTGATCTCTTCTTGGTTTATAGGCCGAGGCTTCGAGCCTAGGCTGATCAGCGTTGTCCGAATGGAGTCGGTAGGGCAACCATCAAGCACATACCTCATGGTATAGTGAGGACAGCATGACCGCTGCAGATTCTGCTTGTAGTACAGGGTGCCGGACCTATGTGAGGATCAGAAGAGTGCACCCGCGTTCGCCACTGGATTCGGCCTGACCTTCTCCATCCCCTGTTAACGAGTTCTTCATAGTGTCCAGGACGCACCGATACGGAGCTAGCGTAGTATGAAGCACCTACGAGGTATGCGCTTTTAGCAATCAAACTCAAGTCTGCAGGGTGGGGGCTACAAGGCGACTGACTTCCATTATCTGATTTACAGTATCCGCACGAGTTGCGTTGGTAACCTGAAATGATATATTGGTCAGAGCGCTGCTGGCGGCGACGATGATCATGAGGGATCCATTGTCTTTAGTCACGATGAGTAGTCAATGAGTTGGTAAAGGGAACAGGATTGGGCACGGAGAGACCGCGATGCCGAGGGGAACGGGGAAAAGGGTAAAATAAAATAAAATAAAAAATTAATGCAAATACACGAGAACAGCAAGGAAACGACCGGGATGATCGATCAGGCATCACAAAGTGGCAGCATCAGAAGGGAGATGAGGGGCAGGGTGAGAGACACTCATACATCATGAGGGGCAGAGCAAGCTGTCTCTCCACGCGGAAAGGAAATAAACTAGGGCCAATGGCCATTGCACGGGGAAGGGCAGTGTGTTGTGACTGGCTACTCACCGAGGGGTCGGAACAGCGACAACTGCCTGGCTCGTTCGGCATCAATCGGTGCTCTAGGATCAGAGGGTTCCATGGCGTGGTTGCTGCGAGGCAGAGAGGGCGCGACGGAGGAGACTGGAGCTTGGAGTTTGGTGTTATTGCCTGCGCTCAAGGCGGAAAAGGAAGAAAACAAGGAAGTATCGGGCTGGACGCGAGTGTTGATCAAGAAACAAGGCCACGATGGAGCTCGCGGGGAGATGAGAAGGAAGGAGACGGTGGATGGCAGAACACCGACTGTTCACAGTTCAGCTGAGGTGTCGAATCCAATATATCTCCAGCAGTGGATGCTCGGCTTCATACAGTTAAATCAGAGAGTAAATAATCATCACTGCTCAGTTAGGCGGTACGAGATACTATCTATCTTACATTCAGGCCAGCTCCTCGTACCAGAACCCCTGGTGCTTCTAGAAAACGACCGAGCCTGCTCTCCCCTGTCAGTCCCGTCGTTGGATGCATGTCCCGTTCGTCATGGTCCAATCTGCGCGTCTGGATATTCCTTCGCCACCAAATACGCTGCTCCAACCAAGAGATTGACGATGCCAGCATTGACATGCAGAAGTAGAGGCCAACATTATTCAACTAGCCACAGCCTACCTAGTGTGTTCATGACACCACTAGATCGATCCGTCCGTTCGCTGGATTCCTCTGGCAAGAAATGTACCCCGTACGGTACCGTTTGCCCTGGTACACGAGAGCCCCGTTACAATACCCGTTCGGACATTTCAAGGTACCGGCCCTCCCAGCACTGGACCAATTTCTCTTTCTGTTCTCGGAATTCTGCTTTTGGCTGGTTATTCTTAGACCCTCCTGGTTATTCCTCGTCACGGCCTGATGAACGTGAGCACTGACGTCTGAGGGGGAGATCTGTTGATCCAGGCGATCGACTCCAGAGTACTTTACGCCTGAGCTAATCTATTCTTATCCTTAATTTCCCTCGCAATGAGATTTGCTTTGCCATATTCCGGTTTGAGTTGAAACGACTGGTTACCAAGGAACATCGCAATATTAATATAGGTAATAAATGATAATAAATTCGATTTCACAAAATCTCTGATTGCTGAATGCTGCGTCCATTGCGGACCTCGTTTGGTTCCACAGTTGCTGGTGAGACTTCGAGTAAATTCCACACAAATGAAACGTGGATAGCCCGAAGACACCGCCTGAAGTTCGGGCTCCTGCATCATCCACTCTCGAGATATTCCCATATAAATAACTATCATTGGGTTACCTGCAGCAGACCAGCGCCGGCGCTCCCAGCCCGTTTTCTTGACCGAGGACAGAGCCCGACGGTATTCCGAAAACATCTGGTTATCCTGGTACGGCTGGAGAACACGCAGACCAATCGCGGATCCGGTGTTGAAGAGACACGACAATAGTAATCAAAAAGCAAGCGTTCATAAGTCGGTTAAGCGCCTGTTTGGCGGCCGAAGAAGAATGTTCAAGTGAAGATGCAAAAGAGGAAACTGGGTCTGATCCACCGCGTGAGCCAACGACTATTTCTCCAAGGACCCTTCACGGCGCCCACGATGCCAAATTGCCAAGTTGCCGGCCGAGTTCTTCTTGGCTAGGAAGCCTGAGGTAACTGTCTACGCGTGGCGACTCCGGAAACGAAGCAAGAAAAGGCATCTCCGAGGGTCGACCAAAGTATCCGCATTCCTAGGCACTCGGTAATAATTCGAGAGTATCAAACCTTATTTCCGCATGAAAAATCGTGGAGAAGCTGGATGGCTGTTTCTTTTCTTTTTCTGGTGCTTTCTTTTCTTTTTCTGAGAGAGCTCCTTTCCGAAGTAGATTAGAGGCTTTCTCATCCCTCCGCGTCATACAAGCATGCATACTCCAAGACCCAAGCCCAACTTGGTAGGTTCTCGGATCTGCTTTTTTGAGTGTCATCATCCATGGTCGATCGACGCGGGGCAGAGCGCAGACCAAAAGCACACGATATTATTCAGGAATAGAGCATTCCGACCCAACGTTCCGTCTCTTTGTTTCGATTTGGGTTCTGTGGGCAGAGGGGCGAAAATAACGGGCGAATGACGACTGGCATAGCCTTGTTCCTCATCGCTCTTGCACATCTGCCCCGTACTAGTCTAGTACTTCAGGCGAAGCATGCAGGCAATGCCTGGGGCATCGTGCAGCTGTTACAGAATTCATGTCCACGGCAACGAGGATTATCGAACCATGGGGTCGATCAGAGCGTTGGTATTTGCTCAGCCCATGCTGTCGCTAGCTGCAGGCCACCTGGACTAGGGAAAGCAGGGGATGCACATAAGATTAATTAGTGGCCCGGCACTCAAAAGCGCTTGGGAGCACTCCAGCGGCGATTGGGTTGAGGTGCGACAACACAGCAACGATCTGTAAACTGCGGATCCTGAGATCCCAGTTGGCGCTTCTCCTGCCGTTTCTCTGTTCTGTAATGTTGTCGATGGCTTTCTGGTGATGCCCTCTCTCTGTCTGTTTGAATGTTACGGACAGCCCTGCACGTGATGTCATCGTCGGGGAGGACTTACAGGAGCAAACGCAGGGGAATGCGTCAGAACTAGTTTAAATCAAAGGCACAGTATGAAGCGAGAGAAAGGTACAGCTAAGTATTACTTGACGGGTAAGGAGAGATGGCCATAGTGATCTATTTCGGGCCTGGGGTGGAAGTACTACTCAGAGTATGATGTGTGTAACGAGTCATAGTAATACAGATACGCCGTACGGTTGGAGAGGCTGCTCCGAAGAGACGCTTTAGAGACTTTGCCGGACCGCGCCGCCCATTATCCATCCCAAGCTGTCTCCGTCCTCTCGCCTCCCCTCCGTTTCTCTTCCTCTTCTCTCCTCCTATTCCTCCCCTATTTTTATGCTATTCCCTCCATGAACATGTCTGTTTCCATCTCCAAGTCTCCCTCGAGGTTCCCGTCCGCCACGGGAGTGAACGGGAATACCTAGTTCGTCAAATCATTCCAAGTCTTCCTCTTCCAAAAAAATTTCACTGCCCTTCCTCGGCCGCCTTACTATCCTCCACAGGAGAAAACGAAAGCCCTGGACCGGCCGTGAGCCAGCTCCTATCCACATTAGCTGGCCATCTATCTTGCCAGAAACCCCGTGGCTTTGAAGCTTCCCTCTTTTTTGGAACCTCTATACTTTATATAGTGTCGTCATCCTGTGCCCGTCACTTTCCTCACCTTTCTTGCTTCCGAAACCATTCCATTCATTATATTTACCTTCGTGCGAAGTGCAGCAATAGCTGTATATCTTCGGTCATTTTTATCTTTACTTCTTATATCTTTCTCCTCGAGGTTCCTCTGCCGGGGTTTCTTTTATACCTTTTTCTTGCCGGTCCAACATGGTGGACCAGGTCCGTTCAATGGAGTCCCGTGTAGGACGGAAAAACCAACGTGAGTCATACTACTATGCCTCCGAGTCTCTCATTTCATAATTGTGTCAGCCTCGAGCTCTTCGACCTATTTCGCACCTCGCAGAACTATGCTGACATGCTCTCGCCCACAGGATACGGATCGAAAGGCGAACGGCTAGTAGCCGGTGTCGTCCCTCTATCAAAGGACAAAAGCTTGGTGCTGATGATCCAGTCCGCTGGACGGGGTGGTTGGGTACTTCCGAAAGGCGGATGGGAAACCGACGAAGGAAGTGCACAGCAAGCGGCTTGTAGAGAAGCCTGGGAAGAAGCCGGTGTCGTGTGTACCGTCGTCAGGGATCTGGGAACAATATCTGACATGCGTCCGTCGACATTGTTGACGTCTAACGCACCAAGAGCCTCATATCAGTTCTTCGAGGTCACCGTGGATCGAGAGGAGGACCGGTGGCCCGAAATGCACAAGCGAAGACGGCAGTGGGTGAATTACTCCCAGGCTGCAACCGCTCTAGCAAGTCGTCCAGAACTTCTAGAGGCGCTGAATCGAAGCTCTGTGAAGCGATAGCGCGCGCTCACATCTTCCTCACAATTTCTTTTATTTTTATTTTTTAAAGGGCTAGGTGTCTCATGAGCTCCCAGTTTCCCTTTTACGACTTGATATGATCCTCCTCCCCGCCCAAAAAAACCATTTGCATTACCCTATCTCATATCATTTAATTTGCATGTGCTTGTTGTTTCTGCTTTCTGCTTGGCTCTTTCTGGCTGGTTGGTGTATTTTTGGTGTTCGAGTGGTCCTATTATCACAGCACAATCGGTTGGCGGCTTGATGGCTTTTTTGCATGAGAATGGCTTAATGCGATTGCGACTATAGATTCGGGAATACCGCGTCGCCATAGAAGCTACAGGAGCATGATTGGCGGCATTATTGCGGATGGGTCAAAAGTTCTTGATGTCGCACGATCGTGATTTGTGTCTGGTCATGGGTTGTTTGGATACTTAATGTGACCTTCACACTGGGCCTCTGGGATGAAGTGACCACTATTCTCTTCCTTGAGAAACTACGGCTTAATGCTCGCTGATACAGCAATGCTTTTGTCTTGTCTCCCTTTGGTCTGGGTCTGGTTTGCACACCTGGCGAGCAGCCTACGTCTCTTTGGACTCTTGGATAGTTCAAATCCACTAGACATCTGGACTCGAGAAGACAAAAAAGAAAGATATCTTGGTAACCTCACCTAGATAAACCCCGTAGACGACTAATTATGAAGTAGACTTCGCTGTAGACTGTGCAGGGATAAATATACAAAACTCAATCTAGATTTCAGATAATATTAATAGATATACATGTGCTCTGGGAGAGTATTTGACACTACTAATATCGGTGGTAAAGGAAGCAACCTGAAGGTTTATACTGTTCTTTTCATTGACCTGAGTGGCCGCTTTTATTGCTATTGCCCAATCAGGTAAAGCGTATAATTTCCGCCCATCAAGACTTCACTCCCGCAATATCAACCGCCGACTTTCTTTCATCCCGATACATCAAGGAACACGGCGCCACGCAACTTATAGCTCCTAGAATCTCTAATAACTCCGCGTGGCTATCTTTCAAACAGTTTATTCTTGACATAGGGGCCCAGCCTCATTACCGCCATGGATTACGAAATGGATATCGAGCCCACCGGGCCCCAGGTCACAGTGCGAGAGGTGAGCTCCGAACTCTCCCCCCGCCTCCTCAAAACTGCTCTTCGCAATACATCCTATCCTAATATCCCTAAAACTCATCTAACCTGACTTCTGCGACAGGCCGAACCCTACCGCGTAGACTTCAAACTCAGCTCCGTGGACCTCGCCTTCGCCAACTCCGTCCGGCGCGTGATGCTCGCTGAAATCCCCACGATGGCCGTCGACCTGGTCGAAGTCGAAAAGAACTCATCCGTTCTTCCAGACGAAATGCTTGCCCACAGATTAGGTCTGATCCCGCTGATCTCGAAAAACTGCGACCAGGACGTCGAGTACACACGCGATTGCGAGTGCGAGGACCACTGTGCACGGTGTAGTGTTACGCTTTCGCTGCATGCGCGGTGCACTGGCGATGAGATTATGTGTGTGTATGCGCGCGATCTGGTTGTTTCTGGGGAACGCGCGAACGAATGGGTTGGGAGCCCTGTTATTACGGACCCGGAGGGGAACGGCCCGCTTATTTGCAAGTTGAGGCGTGGGCAGGAGCTTAAGATGACTTGCATTGCGAAGAAGGGAATTGCGAAGGAACATTCAAAGTGGGCGCCTACTGCCGCGATTGGGTTCGAGTATGATCCGCACAATAACCTCAAGCATGTGGATTATTGGTATGAGGAGGATCCCGTTAAAGAATGGTACGTCCCTGCTTCTTTGGGCATTTTAATGCTCGCTCAATTTGGGCACTTATTTTATTTGTTTGAGAAAACATGTATTGATGTTGTGAGAAGGCCCGTTTCCCAAAACGCCGCATGGGAGCACGCGGCGGCCCCCGACCAACCATTTGACTACGATGCACAACCAAACAACTTCTATTTTGACATTGAAAGTATCGGCAACCTTGAGCCTGATATGATTATCCAGCAAGGAATTGTCGTTTTGCAACGTAAACTTGCCTCTGCTATCTCATCGCTCTCCGGTACCGAAGGAGGCGATCACAACGGCGTTCCCGACGAAGACATGATGGGTGTTCGAAGCCCAGACGCCTATGAGCCTCCAGAGGGCATGGACGGTAGCTTCACAGCATATGCTAATGGAGGTGCTGCGAGCGCCTGGGGTGCTACAGCTGCGACACCCTACGGAGCTACTCCTTATGGCGGAGGCAATTATAGCTTCTAATCTTCTGCAGAAAAAATATCTCAATCCTTTCCTTTGTCTGTATTGGAGCTTGAATTGGGAAGGGAAAAGAAAGTGGGGAAAAGAATCTACTTATTAACTTCATTTAGCATCGGACGGAGTTTGCGGCTGGGAGGGTTCATTTGGGCGCCTAGGCGCGGTGTTTTCTATTTCGTTTCTATTTCAATAACCTCTGCTTTGCCCTCCATCGACATAGTATCAGCAGAAATTCTTTTACATATATTCTTTTTGCCCTTTAGTTCATGTAATTATAGAGCAGCAAATGCATTGGACAATGAACTCAATACAACACCACATAGGAACTAAATTTCAAGATAATTGAAGTACACACCGTACAAATAGCCATCAAATATCATTGAAAGCTACCAAAAAAAAAAAAAAAAAAAAAAAAAAAAAGAGTAAATGTAGCTGTCCGTTTTAGTCCGCCATGCCGGTATAACCACAGCTATACCAGCACGGCGGGTAGTTGATCCGAACCGACGGAATATTTCCAGTTGTTTTGCTATCAAGTTCCCATCATCTAACCTTGCTACGCCTTCCACCTCGCTGTCAGGGCCGAAATTCAGACATGCGTCTGTTTGCAACGAGCAGGGCCTTGCGCCTCGGCAGTGGAAGATGGTCAATTACCTCTCCTCAAGGCAGCATTCGCCTTCCGCTCTCGCGCTTCCCAGAACAGCGAGCTCTTGGTTATAGAGGATTGGTATCTACAGCTGTGCGCCACACACAAGATGCGTCTGACAAGCCCAAAACCGCAGCGAGCCCCCCAAAATTTCCAAAGGATCTAAAAATTGAAGGCAAGACATACCCAACTGACGATTGGACGAATACCCCCGACACAATCCTCACACATATCGACCGCCGGCTCTACCTCAACGAAAACCACCCGCTCGCAATCACCCGCAAGCTGATCGAGAGCCAATTCCCTAGTCCTACCTTTGGAAATTACTCTGAAAAGAACCCTATTGTCTCGACCGCCGATAATTTCGACGTTCTAGGTTTCCCCGCTGACCACCCTGGCCGGAGTCGTACGGACACCTACTACCTCAATAACAAGACCGTTCTACGGACGCATACGAGTGCCCACCAGCAGGATTATTTCCAGCAGATTAACCGCAACGAAACGGCTCGCCCGGAGGAGGTTGGGTATACCGTTGTTGCCGATGTCTATCGGAGGGATGCCATTGACCGCAGCCACTATCCGGTGTTCCATCAAATGGAAGGCGCAATGTTGTGGAAGCGCCCTGATGACAACCCTCCGGAACACACAGGCCAAACTGCCGCCGCAATCATGAAAGATGTCAAGAGCATCCCCGCTCATGATGTACCGGTTGAGGATCCGAACCCTACTATCCATGCGGAGCGAAACCCTCTCCAGGCCGCATACCACAGTGAAGAGGAAGTCGAAGCTATCGCCGCCCATCTTAAGCGATCGCTGGAGAGAATGGTCATCAAGGTCTTTAGTGAGGCCCAAAAAGCGGCTGCTGCTTCGGAGGGCGTTGAGCCAGAGCCTCTGAAAGTCCGATGGGTCGAGGCATACTTCCCTTTTACCAGCCCGTCGTGGGAACTGGAAGTATTCTGGCAAGGTGACTGGCTCGAGATTCTGGGTTGTGGAGTGGTCAAGCAGGAGCTCCTCAACAACTCCGACGTGCCTAATCGCGTAGGGTGGGCGTTTGGGCTAGGATTGGAGCGGATCGCTATGCTTCTTTTTAATATCCCCGATATCCGGCTATTCTGGTCAAAAGACGAGCGGTTCCTCTCCCAGTTCAAAGTGGGCCAGATTACCCGCTTTGAGCCGTTCTCAAAACACCCTGCTTGCTACAAGGATGTTGCGTTCTGGCTCCCCTCCGCGGCTGCCAGCGGTGGAAGTGCAGCTGGCGGAGCAGTGCCCGTCCATGAGAACGACATCATGGAGATCGTCCGTGGGGTTGGCGGTGATCTTGTCGAGGATGTTACGTTGATTGATGAGTTCACCCATCCAAAGACTAGCCGCAAGAGCATGTGCTATCGCATCAACTACCGCAGCCTGGAGCGCACGTTGACCAACGAGGAGGCCAATGATCTCAACGACACTGTGCGCGAGAAGCTTGTCAACCAGCTCGGTGTTGAGCTCCGCTAACTACGCGACGCTGGATGTAGGCTATGTATGTATATAATATGTATAATATTTTAGAATGAACGGTATGGAATCTCAGCTTCGGCGATTTGCTTGAATACGTACGAGACAATTGATCTTCGCGTAGCACTTCCGCAACCCCCATACCCGTCAAATAACCGTCTTCCGCGGCGTCTCGGGCGCAGCCCAAATAGTGAGAACCAACACCGCCTCTTACTTTTAAACAGGCTTCTTGACGTCCTTCATACGTCGCGGTTTCTACATTACCGAGGGTTTCCGCATCGCCGCCGGTGGACCGCCGGTCCCAAGCGCAAACCGAGACGGTGATTGGCCGACCCCGCTGGCGTTTCCGAAGCGGCAGACTCTCGGAGCCTTGATCTATCTCCGTTCTGCATCTTAAAATTCTCAGCCTGCTTGCCTCTCCAACCGATCCCCAACTTTCGTCTTACTCTCCACTCTTCCGCCTCCGCGCTGGAATGTCAACGTCTTGTTATCGACGATGGCAAGCACCGCGAAGTTGGAGATGTCGCATTCCTCGCAGGTCGCCGTGCCTGTGAAGAAAGTGCATTATCCCTTCTGGTTTGGCGGTTCTGCGTCATGCTTTGCTGCCACGGTTACGCATCCCCTAGATCTTGGTGAGCTCCTCTCCTTTTGATTTGCTAGAATATACTTATGAGACTGTGACTAATTGCCGGGATTGCAGTCAAGGTAAACTCTCCTTTCGTCCTTTGTCGCATTGTGCTTCAGACATTGAGACTTTTCGTGAAATAGGTCCGCCTGCAGACCAGGGGCCCTGGCGCGCCCACATCGATGTTAGGTACATTTGCGCATATCTTGCGGAATAATGGGGTTTTCGGTCTATATAACGGGGTAAGTGTGGTACCTTGGAAGAACGCAGAGGGAAAGCAGAGAGAAGGGGGGTAAAAAAAGATCTGCGCTGACATCTATACCTATCTGTGGTTTTAGCTCTCTGCCGCTCTTCTGCGCCAAATCACATATTCCACGACCCGGTTTGGAATATACGAGGAACTTAAATCCCGATTTACTTCTCCATCGTCGCCGCCTGGTTTCCTCACCCTTCTTGGGATGGCTACTACCTCTGGTATACTAGGAGGTATAGCAGGGAACCCAGCCGATGTACTGAACGTGCGCATGCAGTCCGACGCCGCGCTTCCCCCCGCCCAACGGCGCAATTACCGTCATGCATTTCACGGCTTGGTCCAAATGACGCGGACAGAGGGTGTCTCCAGTCTGTTCCGTGGTGTGGTCCCAAATTCGACACGAGCCGTCCTGATGACATCCTCCCAACTCGTCTCCTACGACATCTTCAAACGAATCTGCCTTCAGAAATTAGGAATGTCGGATAATCTGGGTACACATTTCACTTCGTCCCTCGCGGCTGGCTTCGTCGCGACGACGGTATGCAGTCCCGTCGATGTTATCAAAACTCGGGTGATGAGCGCATCGCCCACCGAGAGTAGGGGTCACGGCATCGCCGGTCTTTTGCGTGAAATTATCCGCAAAGAAGGCTTTGCTTGGGCCTTCCGCGGTTGGGTACCCAGTTTCATTCGTCTGGGACCGCATACGATCGCGACGTTCGTCTTCCTCGAGGAACATAAGAAACTCTATCGTTTCTTGAAGGGGATATAAACTAACTGACCTTCTTACTGCCGCCAACCATCTAACCGTCATGCCGCTTATGTCTCCGTCCATATACACTTAGAGCCTACGTTCGCACACTTTCTGGGGAATTTTCTCCGATTTCCATTTGGATTACCTACGATACGGATTCGAGGGTACCTTGCCCGTTGGATATGTTTCTGTAAATAAACTTGATGTTTCTCTCTCTTCCACAGGTACTAGCGGGCGACCTTAGTACCAACCACTAACTTCCTCACCCTTACGACACCGCATGAGATACCCTCATCCTCCTCATCTCAACATATCACTGGAATATACTCGACAGCTAGACCGTTGGATTTGTGACTAGACTAGAATTGGAATATCTAACCAATATAGAGCTGCGGGTGGCGTACTCTTTTTTGTTTTGATTTCTTCCTTTTTATGCTTCTTTTTTGGTTGGTTTACATTCGTTGGCTTGATGGGTCAAACATACTCTTGATCCTGGTTGATAGATAAGAAGAATAGACGGTACGGACATTAGACAGGCAAGACAATCAAATATAAATAGCTATGTTACTTTTTATGTTAAAGCGTGAAGTAAAGCTATGGAATATATAAAAAAATTCCCGTGCATCATAATTCGAGCGATTGATGTCTCGAAAAGGGGAGGTTATTTGATTCGTTTATTGCCGCCAGCAGCACCGCATAGACCGAGCTTAGTACGTTAAAACGCGAGACAGTTAACTATTCAACACGATAATGTGCACATTTCAAATACGGCGAGTCTATATACATCAGGCCTTCATCTCCAACTAATCCAAGGACAGAGGAGAGGACTGTATAATATCCCCGCTGATCAGGTAGAGTACATGTTGACAAAGAAACAGCCTTTCAAGCTTAAACCACCACTGGAATTCTAGTACAGAGCTAATTTACCGGTCCAGGCGAACGGGGAAGTTGCCAGCCTCTGCGATATTTATCAATACAGGTTACTGATTTGGGGGGTGGGAGGGAATAAACGTACCGCGCTGCTCGTCCCATCGGTCAGTCCAGGGCTTGGGGCAGAGAGAGCGGAAAGCGAGGTAGAACTGCGGTCGCGATTGTTAAAATGAATTTCTCTTAATTTATTGGGATTGTTTAGGTGTTTTACCTGGCGGCATGGGCGGAAGTCTTCACCCTTAGCGGTGACGCACTTGTGGTAGTCGACGTAGTTTTGCCAGCAGTGCTTGGTCCTGGGGCATGTAATAAGCAATCTAGTCCGGAGCAAGGATTAACTAGGAAGGGAAAACGGGGAACGTACTGGTTCATCTGAGGGAAACGAGCATCGTAACCTAGTACATTGAACGAGAAGTTGTTAGCTCCAGAGACCAAAAATATACAGCGGGTGCGATCGAAAAGCGATTGGTTTGAATCGTAGGTCTGCGAAGAACGTACCAGCTACAGAGAGGTCAGCAATTGAGTCTTATTTGGGCGCAGCGAGAAAGAATTGGCCTCGGAAGAAGAAACTCACCAGTGACGAACTTGAAGGGCTTGGTCTCCATGGGCTCATCGGGATCAGCTTCAGGAATGGCACCCATTTTTGCGGTATTTATTCAATCAACGAAGCTTGACTGAAAGAATTGAACGGGACAAAGGTTGGGGTGGAGAGGCGGAGGAATGGACGTTGACTGAGGTGGTGGTGAGAGTGAGGGTGGAACGATTCCCGTGAAGTCCCATGCCGGGAGCGACCGCCCAGGTAAACGAGCCACTCAGACGCCGAGATTTCCTAAACAACACCCGAAGCCGTCAAGTCACTTGCCTCGCCAGAGCTCCGTCACCACATCCGATTCTCGACCTTCTCATCCCACCCAGTCTCAAGACGTCCGAGCCCTGCTCTCTCCAACCACCACGCTTGATCCGCCATGTACTCCTCTCCAATCCTGAGGATGCAGCCTACACGGCGCTTCGCCTTCCCTACTCCTGTGAGTATCCTCTCATCCCTGGTTGTTGCATGATGTGAAAAAAAGCCTTGGCAGTTACTAACCTGACGTTGCAGAAGGAGGGCCAGAGCGGTACGAGTCCCAGAATATTGTCAATTGACGATTGATATATGGATGCATTGGACTTCGTGGAATTGCACTAACGGATACCACAGCTCACACCATCTCTCAGCGTCTGCGCACTCTGAAGAAGATCCCCCCGGAGTTGCTCCCTCTCGGTAAGTCGCCTCCTTTCAGCCATCTACGACTGCTTCGCCGATATTGAACTCTCGTGCTAATTATTTACAGGTCTCGTCCTTGGGTATGTTATTCTCTGATCTATGGCTTGGATTATTTCACATGATAGAACCTTGATTCCGTCATATTCCGAACGCTGAAGCCCATCTCACTGACATCTCAATCCCAGTGTCGCCATTGGAGCTGCCATTTACTCCAGCACCAATAAGCTCATGACCGACAAGACCCTCCGTCTTACCCCCAACCGTCCCGAGGACCGTGAGCACTAAAATGTACTATCACATTTTTGATTCCATGCAATGGCCGATCTGAGCTTTCTTGTTCGTTTTGTGTTGCCGATATGTATTATCCACGGTCAATTTGATATCGCAGGAGGCGGCGGGAGGTTATATCTCGAGAAATATCAGGCTCATGATTCGAGCGCGTGTGTATATAGTACGGCTTTGAATAAAAGGCTCTGATAGTGTAATATTGTGCAATATTACTGTCGCCTGGCTTCTCTCGGATTCATTTGTATCGTAGTTATTGCATTCAACGTTCATTCAGGCTTGGGGCCCGCAACGTCTAGCTCTTCCAGCCGTCGCATTGGGTCTTGAGAAGGCTCGCCATCTTCCATTCTTGCCTCCTCGGTCGCAAGTTTATCTTCTTCACTCACAGCATATTTGGATAAATAGCCCTCCTATAGAAGTAGTTAGAAATCAACCCTTCATATCATTAGACCGCACGCATGGACATACCTGCTCCCAGATAGCCGTCTTGCTTCCAAGGCCTTCATTGGCATCCTTTTGCGGCTTGGCCGCGGCAACCTTTATCGTACGTCCATACAACTCACTTCCGTCCATATTATCAATGGCTTCTTTCGCATCTTCTGGTAGATCATATTCCACATATCCAAACCCCCGATGGACGTCATTGGAATTGGGCAGGTCAGGTTTCGGAAGCGTAATATCAACGACTTCGCCGAAGGGTACGAATGCCTCGGCCAGCGTCTGCACGGTCACCGCTTGGTCCAGCCCGCCGACGTAGACCGTACACTTCAAACGGGTCTTCTCACTCATTGCGACGGTTGTTTTTGGTATGTAAAACGGGTATATCGACGTCGTGGCCGAAAGCTCTTCTTTGGCTTCCGATTCTGAGGGCGGGCATGCTGGTATCAATCACGTGCCGGTCCTGTTTTGGCGAGCTCCAAATCGGGCCTAGCTTCGAATTGGGCTCCCCGAGGACACTTGGCTTGGTCAAGCGGGAGACCCAGCAAGCCAGACTGAGCCCAGCCCAGGACGACGACTCGATCGCCTCTCCCGTCCTGTTTTCTATGCACCCCTCCGTTCTCAATTAGAGGGGAGAGTTGTTGTTGGATAACTTTGTTGATCTTTTTTTATTTTCTTCTGTTCTTGATTCAAAGCGTCCCGCGTGCACGACCTTCTACTCCCTATCTATACCCCCACACCAACAGACCCCTACTCTCAACATGGTGCGTCTGAGGGAGATTCCCCGGACGGCCACGTTCGCCTGGTCTCCCGGGGCTGCCTCGCCGCTGATTGCTACTGGTACGCGGGCCGGCGCTGTTGACGCCGATTTCTCAAATGAAACATGTCTGGAGCTTTGGGATCTGGCCCTGAGCAACCAGGATGCTGGTGCGGAGCTGCAGCCAGTGGCTAGGATTGACACCGACTCGGGGTATGCTTGCATAATATGCCTAATGGCCTTCTCCGCTCTATTTGAATACAGTCTAATTAGGTTTTCTGAATTTAGGTTCAACGACCTCGCCTGGACGGAATCGGACGATCACAAACGCGGGATAATTGCCGGTGGTCTCGAGAGCGGTTCACTTGATCTGTGGGATGCAGACAAGCTTCTCAGCGGTGCAAGGTTGGTGACCGGTGAAATTAATCATGCCAATGGCAGTTGCTAACCGAACAAGTGACGCCTTGTTGTCGAGGAGCTCAAAACATTCGGGTGCCATTAAGGCTCTACAGTTCAACCCAAAACATTCGAATCTCCTAGCTACTGGAGGCGCCAAGGGAGAGGTTTGTATTCAACAGTTTGGAGTTAATTCGGACACGTACTAACCCTCTGGCAATAGCTGTACATCCACGACCTGAACAACCTTGAGAACCCTTACCGACTTGGAAGCACCACCGCTCGCGCTGACGATATCGAGTGTCTGGATTGGAACAAGAAGGTGGCACATATCCTGGTTACAGGTAGCAGCGCTGGTTTCGTCACCGTGTGGGATGTCAAGACTAAGAAGGAGAGCTTGACTCTCAACAATATGGGACGGAAAGCTGTGAGCGCTGTTGCCTGGGATCCTGAGAAGGTAGAGAACACGCCACCCCTTTACTGAGCTTTTCATGTCTAACGGCAAATAGCCTACCAAGCTCGTGACGGCAACGCCACTCGAATCGGATCCGATAATCAACGTCTGGGATCTTAGGAACTCCCATGCTCCGGAGAGGGTATGTGAACACTCAGCCGCTGTGATACTCTGTGTTTCTAACAATGTATAGACACTCCGCGGCCACGAGGCCGGTGTTTTGTCGCTCTCTTGGTGTGCCCAGGACCCCGACCTTCTTCTCTCTTCCGGCAAGGATAACCGCACGCTTTGCTGGAACCCTCAAACGGGCATTTCATACGGTGAATTCCCTGTCGTTACAAACTGGACGTTCCAAACCCGGTGGAACCCCCATAACCCCAATTTCTTCGCCACAGCCTCGTTCGACGGTAGGATCTCAATCCAGACCATCCAAAACACCAGCACCGAAACCGCCCAGGCTGTTGCCGACCAGAACCAGGCTCTTGACGGAGAGGACTTCTTTGCCAAGGCTCAAACTCAGCCGCAGGTCTCAAGTTTCTCGCTTCCAAAGGCCCCGAAATGGCTCGAGCGACCTTGCAGCGCAGCCTTCGGCTTTGGCGGCCGAGTTGTTTCCGTCAACCTGCTAGAAAAGGGCGGCCGTGCCTCCAAAATCAAGATTACACCCTTCGAAGTCGACGAGGCAGTTGGGAAGTCTACCGAGACTTTTGAAACGGCACTCAAAGAAGGCGATCTGAAGAGCATCTGCGAAAACCGGGTTACAAGCGCTGGTACCGAGGAAGAAAAAGCTGACTGGAGAGTTATCGAAGCCTTGCTGTCGGAGAACCCCCGGAAGGGTCTAGTTGAGTACCTTGGTTTCAACAGCCAAGCTGACGATGTGTCTGAGGGACTGGCCAAGCTTGGGCTAAGTAAAGAGGACGAAGTCAACGGAGAGAAGCCATCGCCCAAAGAATCCCGTGGACCGGGAGCAAAGAAGCATAAACGCCTACAATCCATGTTTGATGCCAGTCCCGACGACAACTTCCTGACAGACCTTGCCGCATCCAAGGGCGCAAAGACCAACAACCCGTTCCAAATATTCAACGGCGCCGAGTCCGAGGCTGACAAGAGCATCACCAGGGCCTTGCTTCTGGGTGATTTCGAGAAGGCTCTCGACTTTTGCCTCAAGGAAGACCGAATGTCGGATGCATTCATGATTGCAATTGTTGGAGGGCAGAAGTGTATCGAAAAGGCACAGGAGCACTACTTCTCCAAGCAAACAGACAGCCCTAACTACGTGCGCCTGTTGGCTTCAGTTGTTGGCAAAAACCTCTGGGATGTTGTATATAATGCCGAGCTGTCCAACTGGAAGGAAATTATGGTGGCACTATGTACTTTTGCGGAAGAAAAAGATTTTGCGGATCTTTGCGATGCCCTTGGTGACCGTCTTGAGGAGCAAATTCGAGGCAATGGCGACAAAACCGCTCGCAAGGACGCCTCTTTCTGCTTCCTTGCCGGTTCCAAGCTGGAGAAGGTGGTTTCTATCTGGATCGATGAATTGCGCGAGGGTGAACAAACCGCTATCGAGACAGCTACCGATGATACCAGCTTCTCCATCCACGTTCGCGCCCTGCAGTCTTTGATTGAGAAGGTGACAATCTTCCGTCAAGTTACCAAGTTCGAGGACACGGAGCGTACCAAGGATTCGGACTGGACGCTCAGTGTGCTATACGATAAGTATATTGAGTATGCTGATGTTGTTGCGACTCATGGACGCCTGCAACTTGCACAGAAATACCTCGATCTTGTGCCGGAGAAGCACCCTGAAGCCGAGATTGCAAGGAACCGCATCAAGCTGGCAACGAGACAGCCTACCACCGGGGCTCAGTCTACCACGGCTGCTACCAGAGCAACCCTAAACAAGCCCCTCCCTCAGCCATCAGCATACCAACCGCCGACGACTTTCTCTGCAGGTGCCAGGGCTGCTACGCCAACCTCTTATGCCTCACCCGGTGCCACTCCAAACGTCTATGCTCCTGCTGCTGCCGCTGCGAACCCTTACGCTGCCTCCCCTGCTGCTGCGGCTCCTCCGAACCCGTACGCGCCAACAGCCGCGGCCCCTGCGCAACCCACAAACCCCTATGCTCCCACGGGCGGAAGCTATGCGCCTCCTGCAGGTTATCAACCGCGGCAGCAATCGTTTGGTGTTCCCCCTCCGCCAGTAGGTGGGGTGCCACCTCCGCCCCGCGCTTCCACTCAGTCCCCTTCAAACCTCACCTCATATACTACTGCTAAGAATCTGCCTGCATGGAACGACCTGCCCGAAGGTTTCGCAAAGCAGTCCGTTTCTCGCAGGGGAACCCCTTCGTCAGGCGCGCCCATTGCTTCACCGTTCCCCAACCAGTCCCCGCCCGTGACCCAGGGTCCTCCCCCCCTAGGAGCTGGTCCTCAGAGAACACCGTCAGTTCCACCGCCACCCAAGGGCGTCCCTCCACCTCCGCGAATGACTTCACCGCCGTCAGCGGACCAAGCGCCGCCAAATCCATTCCCCGCTGCTCCCCCACCGCCAGCGAACCCCTATGCCAGTCTGCCACAGTCTCCCCCAACTACTATGGCACCGCCGGCATCAATCCCTCGTGGGCCCTCTCCTTACAATGCACCGCCATCTATGCCTCCCCCGTCTAACCGGTATGCACCGAGTCCAGCGGCCCAGGCGGCCAGCCCACAGCTCCAGACGAGGGCTCCTGTGCCTCCTCCTCCACAGGCCGCTGCTTCTCCTTACGCCCCTCCTCCGCCTGTGCAGCCTATGGCATCCAACCCGTATGCCCCTAGCACGCCACCACCGATGCAGGCTCCTCCTCAGCAGGTGCCGCCGCCTCCTCAAGCCGCTGGCTCTCGACCTGGTACCGCCTCTTCTATGAAGAAGGCCACCCCCACGCCGCCGAAATATCGTAAGTGGAACACATATGTACTCGACTTTTAATAACTCTAACTGTTGATATAGCACCCGGCGACCGGTCTCACATCCCCTCCGACGCACAGCCTATCTTTGAGATTCTCTCAGAGGACATGCAGCGCGTCAAGGCTCGGGCACCCTCCTCCTTTAAGGCACAGGTCGATGACGCCGAACGGAGGTTGAACTACCTCTTCGACCACCTCAACAATGAAGATCTTCTCAAGCCCAACACCATCCAGGATATGGTGCAGCTCGCGCGTGCCATCCAAGCACGTGATTACGAAACCGCTCGCACGATCCACGTCGATATCATGACGAACAGGAATGAGGAGTGCGGTAACTGGATGGTATGTTCGACGCTTTTTATGTTGATTTGCAGTCTCGATTTTCTAACCTATATCTTTCCAGGTCGGTGTGAAGCGTCTCATCAGCATGAGCAAGGTGACCCCATAGATTAAGTAAAGTATACCAGTGGCCATGTCCATGTATGGAACAAATTCGGTTCTATGACCCTATGCGTTCGTGGATGTGGGAATCGGAGAAAAGGTGTCATGTGTGGATGGATTACCGGCAATACCTCTTTATCTGGTAGAGTATTGATGTTTAACTTGTTCATTATTTCATGTCTCCTCTTCAATTGTCAATTTTATATTAATTGCTTCTGTTACTTTCGATCTGTTGGTTGTATTAAAAGTAGGGTAGGCGGACTTATTCAAGTTGACTTATCAAGAACCATTTGTCGGAGTGCCGCCGGCTGCTGACTGCAGTCGGTTCCAATGCGCTTTGGCTGCAGACTGAAACGGGTATTGGGTGGGTAGCACCTAGAGTTTAACTGGAAGGAACGGTACACATTAGTTGGAAGGAGCTACCGATGTTCGATGTTTACCTGGTTGCTCTTGCCTTCAAGAGTTGATCCGAGGTGCAAGGGGCGGACTTTGGGAAGCACGATGGACCGCGAATAGGATAGGAAGGAACGCTATGATGCCGTATACTGAGATATAGAACAATAACGTTGAGAATTATTGGTCGTGTTTTCTTTAAGTAGATGTTACTATTGTTTTGGGTGGATACAAGATAAGCGGATATATATATATACTAAGGTGCGACACATCAGAGAAATGAACAATCTAAACAATCTAAACCCATCATTTCAGTGAAATGCACCAAATTACTTGGAATGGATGATGCCTATCGTAGAATCAAAATATACAGTGCCATCTATGCTACCAGATGGTACATTACAAAAATCACGAGAGCCGCTAGAAACAAAACAATGGAGCTGGTATAAAAGCAAATCGCTGCACTCCGCAACCATCACCGAGCGAATGAAGATCGCAAGCCCGCGGTCCTCCCTGAGGGGAAGTTTCTCGCACTAAGCAAAGCTCCCTTAACGCCCCTAATATCAGCCCTAAAGTTAGATATCGCATCCTCCTCGGCCTTTCTGACACCCGTTGCCGCAGCGCTACCAGAGTCTAGGCCTGGGGTGCTAAAGGCTCCGTATCCCGTTGTCGCAGTGTAAGGGTATGAGTTCTTGGAGTAGAGGAGGCCGTCGAGGTAGCGCTGGAGATCGCTGATGCGGCTGCGGGTTGTATCGTGGAGGGTGCTGGATTGGGACTGCGCGTCTTCAACCTCGCGGAGATGGGAGCCGATGGATTCGAGGCGTTTCTGATGCGATGTTATTGTTGCTGTCGGGTCGACTGATTCTGGGTCTGTTGCCGAGGATGCATCCGCCGTGGCAGAGGGGGGTTGGGTGAGGTCTTGGGATGTCTGGGTGCCAATGTCCCGATGGAAGAGCTCAGTCGGGTCGGAGGTTATGGATTCCACGTCATCCTCCGTGTCACTGATAGAAGGTGCGGTGGATTTAGAGGCGAGAAGACTGGGTGGGAGCTGGGAGACGTTTTGTTCTAATTTCTCGTTGAGCTTCTTCAAGTTATCCTCGGTGGTTCCAGCTAGGTCGAGGCGCGCGTCTGTGAGGGTGGCGAGCATCGGCTTCACGATGTATTCACTAGCGCCGTATATAGTGGCACCGAGGCCCGCGGCGCCGTAGAGGGTATATAGAACGCTCTGGAGGGTGACAAGAGGGGGCGGCTTGGATTGGTGGAGAAGGAATTCGGGGTAGGTGATGATGGGGGGTACATCGCGGCGAGCTGCCGAGTTGACCTGGCTATTGCCCGAAGATGGAGCTGGCGATGCCGAAGCAGGAGAGTGTTGATTGGGGGTAACGGGAGTCTCCGAAGCCTCTGCAGAGGCCTCTGAACTTGAAGTGGTACCCTTCTCCTCGGCCGAGCCGCTGCTGGCGATGGCGCTGGCTTCGGGGTTTCGCGATACACCAAGCACATTGTCGATTTCTGGAGCCGTAAGACCCTTTGACTCTAAGAATGCAATCTTGCGATCAGTAGACGCATCCCGGATTGAGTCGTCCTGGAGGAATTTCGAAGCTTGCTCCAAGAGCGTTGACCGATCAACATCGTTATCGGCATCTTTGCTGCCATCAGAGGCTGGTGGAGGGGACGAATGCTGCCGTTGCCATTGCGGAATTGACCGCTTAGAATCCGAGTCGGACATGGCCGTATAGTAAATATCTGAGAGAAAGATTGAAGAATAAAGGTGAGAGGAGGATGAGTGAGCGATGCAGACACTGGGGTCTCGGAGGTGGCTCGGATGGGTTCATGTGAGTTGACCTCGGCTTTACAGCTGCACAGATCCAGGTTACCCACATAGTTCAAAGTAGCACGAATAATTTTCAACAATTCGTCTTCGTGGCGCAACTGGTTAGCGCGTCTGACTGTTAATCAGGAGGTTGTCAGTTCGAGCCTGACCGAGGACGTTTTTTTTTTTATTTTCGTTATTTTTGCTCCGGCGACGAACCCTTCCTACGAATCCTAAGATCCTCTTCATGGTGGTTACCTGGCGTCTGGGTTGATCGAAACCTGTGTGTCATCGCGAGGCCGCCATCAGCAGAGTGTAGCTCAAGCAAAAATATCTGATGGAGAGAGAGCAGAAAAGGGAAAGAAAAGATAACAATTTGAAAAAAAAAAACGTCCTCGGTCAGGCTCGAACTGACAACCTCCTGATTAACAGTCAGACGCGCTAACCAGTTGCGCCACGAAGACGAATGATTGGTCAGCTTCCACAGACCTGAGATAGTCGTCCGTAAGTTAGTAGACATGTTGATGGAGAGTAGATATGTTGATAGAGGCTGATTTGGGAGCTGACTCTTTGAGTATTTAATTTGATGTGTGACATCGCACTATACGATATAACCACTCCGTAGTGTATATAAATTAACAAGGACAAAAGACTAAACCCAGGACAACGAACGCTGTGGGTCCGCTACAACATCATTGGCATCTGGTGTTGAGGGCCGATCAGATACACCGCCTGGGCAGAACGCGGTCTTCTGATCGCTCCCGACTGACGAAAGTACACTACTAGTATTGCTTGAAAGAGGTGCAGCTCCCTGTTGGAATAAGAGAGAATTTCTTTTCTCAGGTATTATTTACTGGTCGCACGGAGTATCCCAGAGTCACACTGCGTGCCCTCAAACTAGACGGACGGCAATCGTGCTCAAAGATCGCCAGTCCCAGCCATCAGATCCAAGTATCTCACTTGCTGGGTCTCTCATTTTGTGTGAGTACTTGGAATCCTGTTCTCCCGTCGTATTATTCCCGTCGTCGAGGTTTGCCTTGAGTTGTGGATGATTTCTCTGCCCTTCGCCCCGTTATTCCCCTCCATCCATGATCCCCCGGTCCCGTCCAACAACGGTCGAGGATCCCGATTTGCCCGGTCCTGGCAATAATCCAATCGCACGAACCTGGTGACTGCAGCTCTGCTGCCCGTCTCTCTCTCGCCATCTGGCAATTTGACTGGGCTAAAATGCTCCCATTGGCCCCTTCGTCGATGCTGGTTCCAAGCGTTGCAGTGGCGCATGAACGACGCGATAGATAGGGGTCGATGCCCTGTGGCTTCCCGGATTGTATCTTCTATTCTCCCCCAATGAAGCACTGGCCCACGTCCTCGTCAGCTGCGGACACTGGTTCGACTTGACAAGTGCATGCATATTCACCTCACCTATGACTCCCGTCAAGCTGTCCAACAGCGGCCATATAACTGGAGCCTTGCCCCCATTGTCGAATCTTTCAATCCTCACCTACCCCAATCTACCAACTTGCTCAAGGAAGCCCCTCCGTAATTTGCACACAATCTTTGTTTGCTCTCCAAAATACCGTTTGCAACACTTCACCCGATCATCTTTTTTTTTTGACACTTGACATGTTCACCTCCTTTTGAGCGACTCAAAAATACCTGTTGCCTGCCATGTCCTTGCGACGCTCACTCCGTGCTCGTGCCGGCCGCGATGATCCTCCAGCCAAAGTATCTAACACTAGTACTAGGTTAACTCGACAAACCCGCTCTGTTCTATCGCCGCCATCAGTGATAGTGGTTCGGACCCGATCAGAGTCTCCTGAGAGTGATAGAAAATCTATTCATATTACGGTCAAAATGCCGCCAAGCAAGCTCCGCGAAGCAACTGGCGGTAGCTCGCGAAGTGCTGCGTCGAGGCGCTCACATAATGTGTTTACCGATAACCCTATTTTGAGCGGGCCCCGCACCAGCAGATCAAAGAGAAGGGTAGTCGAGGTGGAAACTAGCGAAGAAGAAGAAGAAGACCTGGAAGACCAGGAAGAAGATGAGGTTGATGATGAAGATGCACCTGGAGAGGATGATGAGGATGAGGAGGATGAGGAGGATGAGGACGCCGATGGCGATGTGGACATGGATGACGCCCCGCCCCAGCCTCCAGTCTCGAGAAGGAACGCAAAGGCCACCGCAGCCTCTGCATCTAGCCGGAAACCGGCCAAGAGCGTGGAGGCGAAAGAAATGGAGCTGGACGAGGAAGAGGAAGAGGACGAAGAGGACGAAGAAGAAGAGGCAGATCTGTCTGAACCGGATTCGGATGCGGATGGCGAGCCAGACGACCAAGATGAGGGTGTGACGATCACATTAAATGATGGTGAAGAGCCAGACGAGGATGAAGAGGATGACGAAGATCTCGATAGCGAGGATGGAATACCCGGTGACACCAGCAAAATGACCAAGCGACAGAGGGGAAACTTGGGCAACGACTTCTTGCAACTGCCAATGGGTCAGTTTTATTGCTTCAGCGTGGTTGATTTATAAGCGAATATGTCATCTAACCCATTTGCAGAACCGCAAATAAAGAAGCACCTGACAGCGGAAGAGCGTGCGATGCGCCGTGCTGAAATGGCCCGACGCCGAAAGAATCTTAGCGAGAAGCGGAACGAAGAAGAAAAGGCATGTCTACAGCGATGCCTGCTATTTTCCAGTGATTCTAACCCTTTCTAGATGGACACAATCAACAGGCTTCTACGGAAACAGGCGCCAAAGCGTCGTGGACGAATTCCCGCTGCTGAAGCCGCCGAAAATGCTGCTGCGGACCAGGAAACAGCAGCACCGGAATACGAACCCGTGGACCCGACCATGGTCAGATGGGTCAGTGGCCGTGGAGGGAGCAATGTTGCCGTGCCAGAAGAATGGATCGGATCTCCTGCGGGACGTATATTCGGAGGGACTCCAAGGAAACTTGTTGAGGAAATATAAACCCACCAGATGCCGGCTCTTCGCCTGGGGAAAGGATACAGTGTGAGCATGGACTACGTGGGCGCGATCTGGATTCGGGCGTATTGGTATTGGTATGCGGCAATAGCAGGCTTACTCGGTTACTTGCAATTTGAAGGAGTTTGTGGATGGAAATGGGTTATTGAGATACTATATTCAGGGCCTGCGTGTCCAAAAATGTATAATACGTTATCATGAAATTATATGTGCTGGTTAGGTGTTCCACTTCACTGCGCGGTGGCTTGCACCGAGGCTCGCCAATGTCAGCGGCTTGCAGAGCGCCAGGTAGCATACGCAAATATGCGAATGTATTGGTGTCCCTGGCGCTTTTTCCGAGTTGACGGGAGCGTTCAATACCCAAAGGTATCTCCAAAACCCCCAGGCTAGTTTCGAGAGTGCTTTCTGTCCCGAAGCAACCCTTAATAATCTTAACTTGAGTAGCTGGCAGCGACTCAGAATATTTGAGGACCGTCGCCTATCAAAGAGACGAACCGGCAAGCTCTCTCAATTCCCATTTCCATCTTCTTTGGAGCTAGGTGCCGGCGTAGAGATAGTAGATGTGGAGGGCTGTTGCTCTGCTGGCGGAGGTTGGTTTCTTCGTTCGGTATTAGCATATCGCATCCGTCTTGGGTTCGCAGACGTACCCAGATCTTTGGATGTTTCCTTTATCGCCTTGAATCTCTCTCAATGCTGGTTGGAAAGTGTAATAGCCTGTATGGGGAAAACAAAAAAAACTGTCAGCCGGTTCTGCGGACTGAAACCGGAGGGAACGAACGGGGTCTGACCTGTAGCAACACCCATTGCAATGGCCAGCGCTGCGGGAATGAAGTTCCGACTCATTATGAATAAAGTATGTTTTTTTTTTTTTTGCGTACGCCTCGACAGTTGTGGTCTGTTCCTGAGGATGAATCGCCGAAGGCGAGCACTGACGTTGAGGTCCGCGGCGGCGGCGGCGGCGCCGAAGAGGAGCCCGGACTTTCGCCAAATGGACGCCATCTTAATTGCCGTCGCGTCTCCCCACATTATTTCCGACGCGTCTAAGACAACCATTATTGAACACTCTCAGTTAACGCTTGGTGTTTAACAACCACGTCAAGTCGCCAACATCCTTCCGCCGATTTATCTACGACAGTCCCCTATTTTCATTGCAACCGTTTTTGAGGGAATGGGTGTTTAGAGACATGGGCGATCGCGTCCGAGGATGCAAATGGAGTCATGGCGCGAACGAGGGTTTGTGCCAGACTCTGATGACGAGGATGGGTTCGAAAGCCAGGAGAAGGGAGTGAATCAGGATGTCCACAATGATAAAGTTGCTCCCACAGAAAGTGCTGTGCAGACGGAGGAGGTTGTCGGGACCGCTGGCCAGGGGAGTGAGGGGGTAAACAATGGCGAAAGGGACGACGCCCATGATGACGACCTTGGATACGTGGAAGGGGACCGAGAAGGCTCTGATATTCTTGAGGATCTTACCGCGCCTGTTGAGGAAGATATCGATTTCCCCTTGCCGGATGCGCAACTGCAAGAACTAAACGACGACGAGAGAGACTATAGCCAAGATTTGGGTGGTCCTGGGTTGGATGATGGTTCAACACGGGGAGAAAATATTTCAAACGTCTCAAGAGCTGAAACACCTGATGGGCTGTCTAAAGGTACTGAAGACAAGCAGTCGTCGACGCCCCGGGCCAGACAGCAGCGTGATTTCTGGGACATGCCGAGCTCTTCCCCGGACCTGTTGCAGCTTGATCACCATCCGTGGCGGAAAAAAGCCTCGCCTGCGGCCACGCCGACACCCAAGGCCAAAGAGACAAGTCAACCGCGCCAGCCAATCGAGAATGTGGAAAGTTCGCCTCCTTTGTCCCCATTATCCTCTGTGCGCTCCTCAATACTGGCCGAGAATGACCATCAACGCGCCGAAAATCTACCGGACCAAGACCTTGAAGAACTGCTGCCACCTCTCGACATACCGGAGGATATACTACGACAACTGGATCAACCTGTGAGAAGATCGCTCAGGCAACGCAATCCCATTCAACTCCACCCTTATCTTCTTGAGGATGCAAAATACCAAAAGCTCATGAAGGCTAGGGGTGTCAAACCTGTGCGCATCACTCAGCAAGAACTACAACGCGCTCGCATCGCAGCTGCTGAAAGCCAGGGACAGAACTTGGCTGATGACGCGGGTTCGAGCTCGGACACCCAAATGACAAGTTTTCAATTCACCCCGTCGTCACCTATAGATCCTCGACAGCTATTCGACATAACACCGCTGGAGGACACAGCGGAAACTGACAATGGGCAAGTTCTTCAAAGACCGAGACCGTCTTTAAATACTACTGCACCGCGTTCGCCCAAGAGACGTAAGGTGTCAGGACCTGGAGATAATCGTCAACGCCAGAATAACCGTCCAGCATCTCCCCCAGCCCCTCCACAGGTTGTGATAAGCAACCCGTCATCCTCTCTACCGCGCGAAGTTTCTTCGATATTCGACATTCCTAGTCCACCGCGCTCGGGCAGTTTATCCTCCCCATCCGTCCGAGGAGATACAGGGTTTCGATTTCCACGTGGGTTCTCGCCTCCTCATACTGTGCCTAGGACGGAAACAAAGAGAAACACCGCCGATATCAATGATAGCACTGCTATTATAGACGAAGCTGAGAATGGGACTGACCAAGAATCTAACGACTCTCGGACCGTCAGATCAGAATCACCCCATAGCCGCCCAACTTCTGATTTGGATGGAGAGGACGACGAGAATGCGCGCGAGGCAGCCGTTCGAAGATATCAGAGAAAGATCAAAGGTGTCCTGCCGGCGTCATGGCTACGACTGGATCAGCAAAACCAGAAAGGACTCCTCGGCTCTACACCACGGAATCATGACAGATTATCCCGGCTGGATGCGGAAGCTGCTAAAGGCGTTGCCAGGAAAATTACGAAAAGGCCTGACGCCTCGGCGCCGTCCAGTGCGAGAGACCAACTTCTGTCTTTACAAGAATTTGCAGAAGACAGTGACAGCGAAAGCGCAGAAAATTCCCTCGATCCTGGCAGTGCTGAACCACACCAACGCTTGGGTAGTTTGCTTGGGCCTGACGACTCTTTCATTGACCAAGATCCCGACGGTGATATACCAGAGGACAACCGAATCGATTACATGTTTCCAGCGATGTCCCGAAATCCTACCCTTTCCAATGGCCAAAAACGCACCAAGAAGCGCAGAAGATCGAAGACAAATGAAACTCGATTCCATGATCAACCAAAGAAGCCTCGTACAAAACGGCAAGCACGACTCACAGAACCTATGTATGGCGGTCAGAAAAAGAAAAATCCTCGGCCGTCACAACGTCTACCAAATCTGGGTATATTGGATGCCCCAGATGTAGCGTCGCAGCCCCGAAAAAAGCAGCCTCAATTCTTGAGAGTTGCTGCAAGAAACGCACGTTTTCGTCAAGACAGGGGAAGACATAGCCCGACCCGCAAGGTGTTTAGGCTGAACTCTAGGTTGGATACAGAAGATGCCAACGCATCTTTGCGCGAATGGCGCGCGGGACGAATGCGACAGGCGACTTTGCCCAGGGCACCGCGTCAACATCAACATCCTCGAAGACAGCCCTTAAAGGACCTCTCCACAAATGCGAGAGATGTTTTCAACGGCCTAGACGCCAAGCGGACAAGGGAGCGCAATTTACCGACCAATACTCAACTAGCGGGCCCGCTAAGAAATGATAATGCCGCAGGGGGAGAAACGGCAACAACTGATGCTCGCCCGGACTCAACATCCGACGCTCGCAATGCTGCGCCGAGGCCTGTACAGCAGCGACGAGGTAATGCATGGGTTATTCAACGAAATCTCGCCATTTCATCCCTAAGCAGGAATAATGCACGACCTGTGATGCCAGGAATCGAGAACCATGCCAGTGTTGCAAGAGAACCCCCGTCGTTGCAGGGGTCACTTGCGTTATTGGCCCGGGATGAAAGGCTACCTCTGAACCGATTTCTCTCCGGCACAGCTGGCCCCCATAACTCACTCGGGGAAACTACTGAGCTTGACAAACCGAAGCATGCCCCGAACCCTGTTGCTGGCTCACGACCTCGCCAGCTGAAGAAGCGGCAACCAAAACGCCTCAATATCACCACAATCGAAGATTATGCACAATCTGTGATACAATCCCAAGAATTGGAATATCCAGAATCTCGATCCAGAGGGCAGCTGCCTCGCGTCAAGACCGTTGGACAACCAAATCGCTTCAGGACGGCGTATTCTGTAGAATTTGGTATCAGCCCTTTGCATTCAGGAACATTCTTTCATGAAACTACATTCATCGGGAGTGGAGAGTTTTATCGCTCGCTTGATATCACCAAGCGTGGACTCGACAAGAGCACTGGCCCCTTCCACTTCAAATTTGGTGATCAAAGTATGCGATGGGGCGCCTGGGATGACTCGGTATCTTCTCAACTGGGCACAGCTTTTGACCATATTACTGAAACCACAGATGCCGGCAAGATTGCTGGAAGCTTAAAAGAAACCTCTGAGGATCTTGTTAATTCAGGCTGCGCTATTTATAGATCGGTGGTGAAGTATACGTCAGAAGCGTTATCATTCATCGACCCCGTTGACCGAGTCGGGTTCGTAACCAGAGCCAACGGCCTCATCTCGAAGACTATGGAAAATTTGTCAAGTCTGGTTTTAGCGACTGGTTTTGATACTGGACGGGTGTTAAAAATCGCATCGTACAATGTCGTCTTTGCAAACCTGGTTTACCAGATTTCCTGCCACAGCCTTGTGAACAAGTCTATTCGGGATGAGGCTTTTGATTTGACAAAGTCGGCTTCGAGGCATGTTGTCACTCTTATCTCGAACCCGAAAGGGCAATCAAGCCTCCAAAGGTTCCTCGCTGCAACCAAGTCCCAAGAATTGCGTGAGGCTGGCATTAAGAACGACCACCCAACTGTCGAGGCATACGTTATTGTGCAGCACGTGTTGCGTAGTGTCGAGGAGTTCAAGGGATGCCTGCAAGTCTTTGTATCAGATGCTTACGCAACACAAGATCTTGAAAGCGCCGACGATAGAGATATTGGCAACCTGGAGAATGGATGGCAACGGGTTTTTATGACTCTACCCTTGCAGGAGATCGATGCGCTGGGGATTTCTCGCGTTGGCTCCCGCTTCAGGGATGGCTATGATAACTGGACAGTCGTCAAGCGTCTATTAGGCCCGATATTTGACAGCGACGAGGCGAATTCAGAGTTCCAGCCCATTTCCTATTACAGTTACTGCCGAGTGCTGTTCCAGAGGTGTTTTACACTCATCAATGGCTGGGGTTGGCGCGATTGCAAGCCAATTCTCGACATGCTGTACGACTTTTTCGCCAAACGGACTTTGTACAACTTGAGACTAGAGGAGAGCCACAGGTCACCTGCTTTCCTTGATGAACTTGACGGCAACCCTTGCTTTGACGTTTTCCCGGGAGATCCATGCTTTCATATCTTGCTTAAGATAATCGCTAGTGGACTGCGCTTTTTATCGAAGGCCTACAACAAGAAGAAGATTCTAAGTTATACCTGGCGGCTGTTACCAAACCATGGACGAAATTATCCCAAGGAGCAGCCTATCCATGAAGCAGACTTGGATGCATTGAGAAACCACCACGACCTCCTTTGCACGTTATACTCCTCTGTTCCTGAAGGGTGTCGCCCTCGGTTGGGGACAATTAAGGATCTAGTTAATCCCGCTACCTCCCACTTCGAGACTTGCAAAATCAGCATTCGGTCATGGACACGGCTTGCACGGTTTAAGTTATCCACCAACGAGGATATATCTGGCTTAGAACCCTTTGCTGAATGGCATTGTTACTTTGTCTTGGAATTTCTCAAGCAGCACAACCTTGCTCGAAGGGAGATTGAAGCGCAAAATGTTGGCGGCAAACAGTTTCCTCAACAGCTGATAGAGAGAACAGTCGCAGAGAATCAACGACAAATCGAAAACTTATTGAAGACGGCTCTTCAGGGTCTGCAGAGCGCGGTCAAGACTGCACCTACGTTAGATCACGCCCAAAGAATCGTGTCTCAGACACCTATCAAGTCGATACTGGACCTTTTCAACAGCCGAGTCGCACGGTTAAATGCCACTGTTTTAGAAGGACTCCAGGTCATCGTGATGTACGTTGAGCAGTGCAGTTCGCTTTCTCCAGAGCAGCCCGTTGTGCCGGCCGGGAACCCTTTATTCTCAACGGATGACGATAGTCAAGAATATGGAGATTGGACGGATATCGAGGCTGTATACGGATATGAACCTCCACCGGTACCTCCAGGGGTGGAGCATGTGGAAAGGGTATTTCACCCTGCAGTATCACGTTTAGTTTCGAATTGCTTTGGTGAAGATCGTTCCCCTGATGATGCGATTCTCAACGGCGTTGTGGATTGCTGGACATCGATTGCCAACACCCTTGTGAGACATGGATTGCGACGATGGGACAGTTACATAAGTCCCTACGAAGTTGATTCCTGGGTAGCGCTTCGTTGGACGACCCAAACAAGGAAGTTTACACCCCAATTCCTGGCCAAATGTATCGAAAAGGATGGGCAGATATTATCGGAATGTAAGATACAGATACTCGGGATATGGCTATCGAGTTTGGTTGAACGAGCATCGATGCTTAAGTTTCAACATTGTTTAACCGAGGCGATCTTGAACCGGGATGCAGAGGATCCCGTTCTAAAGAACCTTCCTTTCTCTCGGGACACAAAAGAAGGACGATACTCGATATCATATGTAGAGCTCATTCAGCGCCGGCTGTCGCTCATCTCATCACTTCTGTCGAACATGCGCACACATCTCCAGGACTTGGATGATATCAAATCACGAGAACTACCAACCATGCGACAAGAGTATAGGGAAGCCATTCAGAAAATGACGACGTCCATGAAAGCAAACTATCAGGAGTTGGGCAACGCGGATCAGGGAGACTATGTCCACTTCGTCCACAGTATCGTTGGTTTCCTACAACAGCATACTAGAGATATCTGCCCTATCGACCCGTTCTTTACAGATCCAGTTTCTTTCCCTCTGCCTAAAAACGACCCGACTTACATTGTCGCCCGGCTGAAGAGCTACGAACCGAAGCTTTCGTCCGCGAAAGTCGCGAAGACACTCGTCATTTTCGTTCAAGGCGTTTCGGAACGTGCCGCACTTGATGGGGAGCAAACGTATCTTGTCAACCAGTTGCATGAGGCAATATCAAAGACCTACGAAGCTGGGAATTTAGATCAGCCAACTCTGCGAGCAACACTTTTGCGCGGTGTCTTTCCTGCGTATCTTGCAACCGCCTTTGAGAACCCAGCGGCGTGGATTCTTAGTTGGCCAATTATCGAGACTATCACTCGCGTGTTCAAAGAATTGCTTTTCAATATGGATGCCACAGATCCAGACTGTGTCCGTTCAGTCGTGGATATCTCCAGTGCAGTTTTCGAGCCATCATATAAGGCCCTACACCGGATAATACTTGACATAACCTTACTTGATAAACCCGCTGCCCTGGTCACCGCCGCAGCCTTTCTCGACATGATCATATCCACCCTCCCTGTCATCGACTACACCGACCGCGTCACAACAGACCCCAGTTCAACAAGGTCAATTATAGCGCAGATCCGTGCCTTCCAAAATCTCGCCCTCTTCATAATCTCCAACCTGCAAAATCGATCTCATCTATCCCCAGACCTACCGATAAACACCGCCCTTCCCACGGAGACTCGTCCCCAGTCATCGCCCCAGCTGTCCACCAGCGACATTTCTCTCTCCGCAACCCGCGAACTCCAGACATACATCAACGAAAGTTGGGCCCAACACCAGGGAAAATATTACTTTACCCGTCGAGGTCACCAGCCGCAAGAGGTCACGGTCGAGGCACCAATGTCCGCGAAACTAGATAGCCTGCCTGAGAAGAGGCTGTTAGACGCTGCGACGATGCTTTTGGATGCGCTAGATAGCCTGGGCTTGCTCGGCGAGGGTGAGGAAGTGGTTAATCGCGACATGCAGTTTCAATCTGACAATGTCTGGGAAGATGAAATTCTTCTACTTTAATGATGCTTATATTACGATGCAAACGAGCACCTTTACTAAATAGATGATCCATGACTCAAAATTATTCTATTCGCATGTATACTTTACGTTTTCTGAATATTAGACTTTGGTGTCCCATGGTAGCTGGAGCCACTATGGATCTGCGATTCCCAAACTGGAATATTTAAAGCTCCCCAGTAACTACTGCGGTGTATAAATCTACAATTACGGTCTACTGTAAATTTAGTATAGACATAGCCTCAGCCCTATGAATGAAGATGTCATAACCTGGTGCTCTAGGCCATCACGTGACGGCCACAAGAAGCTGCCAAAAATAAAGAAACAGCCTCCAGGCGTAGGTGTTACTCCACACTGGTGTGAAGCTCCAAATTACTCTATCATGACTTCTATAACCTGGATATAAGGTCTGATATAGTTTTGAAGGGTGTGGTGACCAGTGCCAGCTTGCATACCGTCCACTGGGGATCGAGCTTGACAGGAACCAGTATACAACGCAGATGGCAATGGCCAACAACAGTCAGGACCTCCACGCCACAAAACACATCACCACAGAAGAACCAGATACTGCGTCTGATGCCAAAAGAATCAAAGATTTCCATGATGAAGTCGCAGTATCAATCGTGAAGCCTTCAGCTATAACACGAGTGATTCCCTTCCCGGATAAAGTATGCCTTGGCTTTTAGATGCTCGGAAACGTGAAGGCTAACTATTCTGACTTGAAGCCTGCAGTTATAGAGGAGCAAAACGGCGAGATTGAATACAGAGTCGTTAACAATGATGGATCTACAGAGAGTATGATTGTCCTAACGGGCCTCAAATGTCTGTTCCAGAAACAGCTTCCGAAAATGCCGAAAGATTACATCGCGCGTCTTGTCTATGACCGCACACACTTGTCCATCGCCATTGTCAAACAGCCGCTGGAAGTTATTGGTGGGATATCGTTTCGGGAAGTCCGGCATCGCGGGTTTGCTGAGATTGTGTTTTGCGCAGTCGCGGCTGATCAGCAGGTGAAGGGATACGGTGCGCATCTCATGGCTCACTTGAAGGATTATGTCAAAGCCACATCGCCAGTGATGTACTTCCTGACTTATGCTGACAATTATGCCATCGGGTATTTCCAAAAACAAGGGTTTACCAAGGAGATCACTCTCGACGGTTCTATTTGGATGGGCTACATCAAGGACTACGAAGGAGGAACACTCATGCAATGCTCCATGATCCCTCGAGTACGCTATCTTGAAGTTGGCCGCATGCTTCTAAAGCAGAAGGAAACTATTCTAGCTAAAATGCGTCCGCTAAGCAAGAGTCACATTATTCACCCACCACCTCAGCAATGGGCAAGCGGCGTCATTACTCCAATTGATCCGCTATCTATTCCTGCTATCCAGGCAGCTGGGTGGTCTCCTGATATGGATGAGTTAGCACGGCAGCCACGCCATGGCCCTCATTTCAACGAGCTTCGACGTTTTCTCAACAAGATCCAAAACCATAAACAAGCATGGCCCTTCCTTCTTCCCGTTGATAAAGATGAGGTTCCGGATTATTATACTGTCATCAAATCTCCCATGGACCTGTCAACCATGGAAGAAAGACTAGAGAGCGATTCTTACACCTCCCCGAAAGACATGATTAACGATCTGAAGCTGGTTATCAGCAATTGTCTAAAGTACAATGACCCAACAACGGTATATGCCAAGTGTGCCATCAAGTTGGAGAAGTACATGTGGACACTGATCAAGGGGATTCCGGAGTGGGTTGAATTACTCGAAAATTAATTCAATCGATGCTAGTGTATCCCAATATCTGAAATTAGACCTTGTGAAGAAATCCGGCAAAGGTGAGTCGGAATACCTTAGGTCCTTTGATATTGCGGCGGTAGCGAAGGCTTCGTCGATGTCCCCAAGCTGACCATACTTATACTTATTGCACATAGCTATCACAGGTGACTGAGTGTGAAAGCTGAGAGTCCATGAAAGGGAGAGTGCGTGGCTTAAGAAAATTCAATGTCCTGCTAGTGCGAGTCGGTTCTCCACGAAAGTCTCGGGGGTTAAGATTGTTGTATGATGCGATGCTCAATCAAGACCCACCATATAGAGTCAGACTGTCAGTTCCACACTAGCGGATCGCCGCACCCGCAATGACAGCAGGCAGTCAATCACGTGGTGCTCTACTACTATTCGAAGACTACTACTCCTTTCGTTCAGCATACTGTACGGTGTTTACTGTTTAGAACAAATAGCTTAGAAAATCACATACAAAGAAAATTCATTGATAAGGCACTGCTATCGTCTGTTATCATTCGTTGTTCTCGATAAAGGCATAAGCTGGTCTATACCATGATGGATCTTCGTACTAGGATTAAAACCCTTCAGTGGCTTTTGAATGTACGAAGCTAGGAAATCCGAGAATATTGGTCTAATGGCCTAATGGCAAGAGAGGAGTTGAGGACTGGACTGGCATCCAGAAAGACAAGGAAATATATATCCACGCATTTCACGGGGAATTTTGGTAAGCGATTTTAGTTTCTGATACCTGCTATGGACAAATAAGAAACATAGAAGGTTGCGTTCGTAGCGGAGTGTAGGACAAAAGGATTACTTATGATATTTCTTGAATTCGATAAAGTAGTCGACTCGAGCAAGTTTCCTTTGCACCAACCAAATAGAGTGGATAAGAGTGCCATAAGTATCCACCAGCTCCGTGGTCAAAGATGAAATACAGCGGGTGCAAAGCAGCGGGGGCGGGGGTAAGATATATAGCCTTAATACCCAGGGGTTATATTCATAGTTGGAAAGGAAGAAACGGAAAGAACAGGAAACCCGAGGGTAATGTAAAATAAAACTTATGTATGAGTATGACGCTCTTATTTATCTGCTTGCTCAGCATCTCCCTCCACGACTGCTGAGCCTTCGGCAGCCCCGGGGAGATCCTCGGGATGTGAAAGGTGCTGGCTTGACGACCCACGCCTGTGGAATGGATGCGGGTGGAACCCTGAGAAATGCAAGACCTTGCGCACCGTGCTCGCGATTGAGGACTTGCGCTTTGACTCTGGCGAGCTTGGCGGATTCCTGTCTTTGTCGGCTGCTGATTGGGGGATAGCGGGAGTATCGGGGTGTTTTGAAGCGGAGGTATTGGTGGGCCGGACAATTGCGTCGTTATTGAGTACGAGATTTTGAGGCTTTGGAGGCCACTGTCCGTCTGCTTTCCAGCCTTGGACCATAGATTTTGTCATGTCCGCGAGGTTTATTGGGACGGTAGGAGTGAGACCTTGGATGACGACCTTCGAGTAGATGGAGGGGTACATTGCGGGTGTTATGGCGGCACGGATTGGGTTGGAGGTTGAAATCAGGGAGGGAACGACAGGGATAAGAGGGTCGTGGAAGGTGTCTGATGAAGGGGATGAGGAGGTGGAACTGGTAGACGGAGATGCCGCCGGGATGGCGGCGGAGGCGGAGAGCGGCTTTGATAAGTCTGCTATCTCAGTAATAGGGCTGGTCGTGATCTCGGCTTTAGTTGCGTCGTTGACAGTAATCTGGTCAGCCACTGATTGTTGGATGCCGTTGTCACGAGTATGTAGCGCATTATCTTCCTTTGCGGTAATGTTCAGAGCGTCTGTCTTTGACGCGAGGTTAGATGGCTCCCCCGTAGCTGGAGCAGCAGCTGGATTGGAATTAAGAAATGCTGAAGTATCCTGGGTATCTGAATCTGGAGTCGCAGTGTTGCCCTCAAGCTCCGCACCAGTCGCGGACACCGACCGCTGTTTTCTCTCCCATGTCTTGACCTGCTTTCGAGACAGAGCCCCGGACCATGCATCGCGTCTCTCTACCCAGGTACGCAGTCCTTCATTCCAACTCATCTCCTCCTCCATCTGTCTGCGACGCTTGCGCCGGCGCTCAGTGTGCCGGGTTTCTTCTGAGGACACTGAGCTAAGACCGCCTGAGAAGCCATCAAAAGCATCGCCCCCCTCTAGAGGCCCGGGACTCGCAACAGGCGAAAACTGAGGCTCTAGCTCTGATCCGGAGCTGTCATATTCGCGCACGCGCCAGTCCAGCACTTCCGTGGGCTCTGGGTTCGCAGGGTACTTTGGAGGAGGGGCACCGGGTTTGGCCGAAAATTCGAAGGACCAGTCGTTTTGGACGACTTCGCGGACGTATCTCTTGGCTTCGCGGACGGCATCGTCTCGAGATTCAGCGGACATGATGGATTATTTTGGGGGATTGGGCCGGGAGTGAGTAGTGGAGGAAGGGGAGGAGGCGATGCGAAGGCGACGAGAACGGAGAATGTGAGGGGTTGATCGCGTGAGGAAAGCCCGCGGGATAAAAGACAGAAGGAAGGTGGGTGGTCTCCTTTAGCTGTCTCGCGGGAGTGAATTTCGCATTCTAAAATGTGTTATTTGTTAAGTATTGTATGATTGACCTTCATTCTCTCTCAAGAGAAAGAATGCATGTTGAAAGAAGGTGACGAAATCCAAGTGCGGATAGAAGCGGCGGTCGACACCTGAAAAATCTGCCAGAACACAACAGCTCAAAGCGTGTTCAAATGCCACCACTACTGGGAAATCAGGCAACAAGAATGGTATATACTTCTTTTAGTCTAACTGTTGGTACATCCCGGTCATATCGCTACAGGTAATGAAAGAAATAGATGGTGGTACATATGTTATCGCATGATCGGACCCGTTCCCTTGCCGAAAGGTCTGCCGAGACACTCTCTATGGAAAGAAAAATAACACCGGTCCAAGTCGCATGCTCTAGGGTATCATGTTGTTGATTTTCACGTTCGTACTCTTGCTGCGTCTGATGCAGCAGCGTCGTCACTGACATGCGTTGCGAATCCCCATCCGGGACTCTTCTTGCGCCGACCTTTGCGATCTCCATACTGCTCGTCGAACTTACGGACCGCGGAAAGCGATGACATGTCTTCGCTGATGGAAGCACTGATCTCTTCCATGCCGCGAGTGAAATGTGCCCATGTCAAGGTTCGCCTTTCAGGATATTGGTATGCACCTTCTCCTGTATGCTGCTGAGCTAGGCTGTTCTCTTCCCGTACACAGGCCAAAGCAGCTGCAACGCAGAGGTTTTTCAAATCAGAGCCGGAGTATAGCGGTGTGCGACGCGCCAATTCCGCGAGATCGACAGAAGGTTCTAGGGTTTCTTCTTTCAGATGAATCTTTAGGATTGCGTGGCGGTCTTGTTCGGTGGGAAGGTCCACAAGTAGTCGCCTTGGGAGGCGACGGAGCGCCGCATCGTCTAGATCAAACGGCCTGTTTGTGGCAACCATAATAAACGTAGACGTGTCGTTCATCCCATCCCACTCTCGCAGGAATTGATTGATCAGTTCTCGATGGGATGTGCGGCTGCTGGCCCCAGTACGGGAACAAAAGATGGCGTCTGCTTCATCTATGAAGACGACGCAAGGATTAAGCTTCTTGGCCAGTGAGAAAATGGCCCTGACGTTCTTCTCCCCTTCACCAACATACATATCGTACACTTCAGACCCGCTGACTTCGAGCACCGTTGCTCCACTTTCACGAGCCACAGCCTTTGCAAGCATAGTCTTTCCAGTACCCGGAGGTCCGTAAAGAAGTAAGCCCGGGATCTTGTCGGTAGCTAATACGCCGTAGGTAAACGCCTCCGGGCGAATGAGAGATAGCGAAGTGAGCGTTTTCAACGCGTCAATTGTCTCAGGCGGGACATGTACATCCGCGAAGGTAGTGCGAATGCTTTTTGCGTCAACAACACCGTTCAACAGCTTCTTCTCATGTGCGTTGCAACTTTTGCGGAGAGAGGAAATCAACTTCTCGCGATTGTTCTCCGTTTTGTTGGACTTGGATTTCGGTGTTCGTTCTTGCAGCCATTCGTCTCTGACCGAATCCGTCTTCTGTATCATTCTGAGCGCACGCTCAATTTGCTCAAACCCAAACACTTCATCCCCACGAAGGCTTCCAAGGGCAAGTGTTGTCGCCCAGTGTACCTGATTATACGACCAATACCCCTCATCGAGACCAGAATCTTTCACCAGATGCTCTTCCAGTGGCCAGGAAGTTGTTTGGAGGACTTCGTCCTTCACTGCCGAGGGCTGTTCCTCAAGTCGTGTCCGGAGCATGCTCTGAAGGTGTCGAATGTTGATATCCAAGGTCCGTTTTCTTCGATCTTCCGCAAAAGTCTTTTCCGTGGCTTCAGCCTTCATGGCGGGCGTGACAAGGACGGTCTGGGAATACTGATCATCAAATGCAGTTTGCAGTAGTCTTGAGGAATCAGAATCGGGGGGAACGTCTTGGGCCGCAGTGCCAATAAATAGAACCCGATGCCCATCCTTTCGGCGATCTTGAATAACTTTAAGTAACAGATTTAAGAACCCGGAACCTTCACGGGTATTCTGTATGTCAACGAAATCTTGGACCTGAACAATAATATCACGCGTCTGTTCCCGTTGCGGACCGTCAGAGTCGCTAGGTGACTCTTCCTCGGCCGTGTTTTGAATAGCTGGTTGTTGTGAGAGCTTTCCAGGGGATGAGAGAAGTTTATGCAAGAGCTGAAGTCTCCGTTCCTCAGATCGATCGAAAGACGGCTGGGATGTGGCGCCGGCCGAGTTGTCTGATGGATTGATTGCCGCGACCAAGCCCTTGAGACCGAATAAGTTGGGAAGAGGAATATCTCCAGGTTCACGAGAATTCTCGATTGTTATGAACTTCGGTCTACCGTAGCCATCCTGGCGAAAGTTCCGTGGGATCATCGCGTCTGTGTCGCCTTCTTCTTCATCATTTATTCCCTCG